AGTGCTTGATTGCATTACACGTTTCTTTTACCAGGGGGTAAAATTGAATGCTTTGGTTCTTTTCTCTTGGTTCCTTTCAGGGTTGAAGATGTGATCATTAGTGAATTACTTGAGGTGCTTCCTGCCACCTTGCTATCTTCACTTAAGATGTTTTCTGCAACCATCACTGGCTCACGTCTCCTACATCTAATTAGCTTGTTGCAATTTTGCTGAATGCGTTTCCATTGAGCGCTTTCTGGAGTTGAAATGTAATCTGTAAATATGTGGAACATGTTGGTATTGCCCATGCCCACCCTGATGCTAATCTCACTGACATTACTTTTGAACATATATGTACAATGTTAATATGTTTAAGACCTAAAATCCAGAAAGTTCATGTATGATGATGACATAATGAATTGAGTATGTGTCTTAATTGCAAATTAGTTACATTAACATTATTATTTAGTCAACTATTGCTCCAAAAGAATCATATGTCTAAAAATAGATAATTTAAAATTGAGTAATAATGTTTCATATATTTACATTTGTATACTTTAACATACTTATTTTAAGTCAATAGATCACACTTTAAGTTTCATTATAAATTTTTCAAAATGGTTTAGGATTTTTCGTTTGTACAGTGCACATACTTAAGTATGTTCAGGCAGGGATGGCCTAGTCAGAGTAACATTTTTCTCAAAATGGAGACATTCTAGAGGATTATGAGGCACCCTTTATTGGTGTAACCTGTAAAGTTAAGATTTTCAATCGGAAGGAAAATAATAAGACAATGATTATAGAAAAATAACCTTTTTCTGGAGGATTTTCCGATTTCCATGTGAAAGAAATAAAAAAGAAAACATACATTAAAAAATGAGATGCTGTGGTCCCTTTGTTAGAAGTGCACCTAGACAATGGGTTTGGTCAAATGAACCACAAGCTTCATGGATTGAAATTTCTGGTCTCTTTTTTTGTCTTTTTTTATTAAAAGGGAAGTATAAAAGACTATAAATTAGGAGATAAATAATTGCAAAAACGGGGTTTTTTGTGTGAATATTTAATGAGAGAAGCAAGTGACATAAATAGGGACAGAAAAATCCATTGGAAGCTTGACCTAGTCATTCATTAATGGGAAATGTTTTTATCATGTTGCATGAGACAAGTTGTCTCATGCAACACATAAAAAAGTGAGTGAGACCCACTAGGAAGAAGAGAGAGAAAGGAAAAATGAGTCATACTCACTTTTGTGTGTGTTGCATGAGATAACTTGTCTCATACAACATGAGAAAAACATATGACTTCATTAATTCGTAATAATAATAATGTTCCTTTCCAAAACACTACTCTTCACTCTTGACAGTGACCTTTAATTACTCTTTTCACCTCACATTCATCCCTTGCAAAAAGAAGGCACAAATTACTTTATTCTGAAGATTACGTAAAGAATTAATTTAATTCTCAATTCTTGTTATTTACTGCAATTAATTTTAGTTTTAATTTAAATTCAAAACTTATTCTCAACAATCAATTCGAGTTTTCCAAATTAAAGAGAATAGTTATAATAGTACTTGACGCATTAATCCTCATGGGAACGATATTCTTATTCACTACTTTATTACTTGAAACGATCGGTATACTTGCCGTAATCGCAACAACCGGTTTACCGATTCCCGGGTCAACCTAGCCAGATTGGTCCAATTTTATCAACATTGATTGAGACTATTCTAGTGGGGTTCTGGACTTGAAAAACCCCAGTGAAGTTACAGAAATCAAATTCTGCATATACGGTGAGCAGTTCCTGTGAGAAAAAGCGTTATCTGGAGTTACTTGTTGAACTGTTTGCTCCAGCTAACAGCTCAACGAGCAGTTCTTGTGAAAAAAAATGTTATCTCGGCCCAGGAGTTGCTCAGCGAGCTACCTCTGTCATTTTATTCTCTCGGGTCTTCCTTGCAGCTCGCTCCAGTGAGTGACTCAACAAGGGCCTCTGCAGATTGATATTTTACATATTGCACGATTACCTTAATTGTTACTTGCCAAGTTTAGCATACTTGTCTATCAAGGAATTTTCAACACATGTTACAATCATAAGTGTATTATCTATGGGAAATATTTTCTCATGTTGCAGGAGATTTCAATTCTCATGTTGTGACCTTTCGATTTACATGCAAAGTTTTTTTTCTTTTTAATAAATGTGGGGCCCATCACTAGTTGAGTCACAACATGAGAATTCAATTCTCATACAACATGAAAAAATCAAACCCCATTGTCTATATGCTATATCAGGTGTCACAATTATTGTTGTGAGGAACACCTCATTGTGTTTGAACTTAATACATCTACAGGTCCATAAGGGACAGGCGCACAACTGCTATATGCAATACAAACAGAAGCTTATCCGGGGCCTAAAAGCCTATATAAAAGCTTTAGACGACTAGTGACTTTCATTTGAGTACGTGCATGTTTTCTTTATCATAAAATCATTAGAAGTATTGTTATTATAAGATATCATAAGCAGGACATAATCTCAGAATAAGAATGGTAGTTTTATAATTTATTGAGATTCGCATCTCATCTTTGTTGGAAACATTTCAGTATATCAAATCAAGATTAGCAGCCGGAAGGATGATTGACAGTGTGTGCTATGTACAATGTGTTTTTATGTATTCTGTATGTTTCGATATGTTTATAGTCAATACATTTTGTTCTTTTGTATTAAAATTATTGTATCATGAATGTTGGTGCATAAGAATGTAGACAATAATACAAGTGTGTAATGACGTATGCTACAATTTAAATGTGTTTTTTTTGTTCTTAGTATAAATATTCCCACTAGTTGGGGTGTTACATGATTCAAGATTTTCCAAAGAAAATTAAATCTGAATCCAAATATAAATTAGATAAGTTGTGATAGTATGTTGATTTTGTAACTTTTATATAAAGTCATATGAATTGTATAGTTAAGCGATGCAAATTTTTTCAAAATAAATCAAATAAATTAAATGAATAAAATATATTTTTCATATTTTAAATTAAGTAATCAAATGATTGTAGCTCATGAACTGATTGGAATATCTTCAAAAAAAATTAAAAAAAAATAAACTAATTAACAAATGTTTTATACAAAAACAATGTGCTTTTAAATTTTTCATTACATGAAGGGGTATAGAGAAGCATAAATTGGGTTGTCAAACCAAAATTGAATTATTTTCATTCTTTCATCTATTTTCATTTCAAAACTAAATTTCCATCAACATTTATTGTTCTTTATTTTGAAAATAGAAAAAATAAATACTGGTAAGGATTTTTTTTATAAACTTGTAGAACACCAGTTTTAGAACGCGCAAAAACTTCCGTGTAGGGATGTGTATGGGTCAGGTCGGGTCAGTTTTTTGTGCTGACCCAACCCAACTTGATTTTTATAAGTTAGGTATTTTGACCCAACCTAGTTTAATTTGATCTAAGTCGGGTCTGATCTAGTTTGAATTTTTTTGAACTAGTTCAGAACCCGGTCGAATCTGACCTGACTTGATTTCTGAAGTGAGTCTGACTTGGTTTCAAAATCAGGTCAAATCCGACCTGACCCGTTTTTGATTTGGTTTCAACACATGTTTTTAATTTGATTTTTTGTATAGTTATTGATTTAAATTTTAAATTCATGTAATTTAATTATTTATTTGTTTTAAAATATATAAATTATATAATAAATTTGGTATTTATTGAATAAATAAAGAAACGTAATTTTTTTTAACAAAAAAAGGTTATTTAATTTTAAAATCCAAATACAATGAATTACATCAGAGAGAAGATGAACAACAAAATTCAAGAGAGAAAAAAAGCTACGGTGTAAAAACTATTAAAATAAAGGAAAAAGTGTTTGTCATTTTAAATGACATAAAGTTATGTCATTTTAAGAGAGAGACAGACACAGAAAAAAAATTATTTGAATTTTAAATTAAAAAAAAAACCACTCACTTTCTCTCTCCCATGATCTCCGTTTTTCTGTGTCTATCTCTCTCCTAAAATAACATAACTTATGTCATTTAAAATGACAAACACCAAACCCTAAAATAAAATAAAAAATGAAGGAATAGAGAGAAAGAAAATCTAATGTTTGTTATGAAAATGAAGGAGGCGATGTTGGAAGGATCAGAGAGTTAGATCCAAAGCCAATAACAAAAAGACCATTATAGCAAAACATGACAACAATAAGATATTTAGCCATATCATATCATATCAATCAATAAGCTCGGGATTAAGCACAAGAAAAGTCGAGAAGCATACTTTGAACTGCAATTGTGATTGCGATGGCTGATCCTCTTCGGTGGAGTGGAAGAATATCGACAGATAAAAAAGAGAAGTGAGAACTTTAAAAACGAAAACTGCAATTGTGATTTTTTTTTCTATTTTTTTCACTTAATGGATATGGGTCAAGTTTTGGATCAATGTGTCAATTATTAAAATAAGTCAGGTTTAAAACTGACCCAAATAAAAGTGGATCGGTATTTAAAACTAATTTAAAAAAGTAAGTATTTATGGGCCATCTCAAGGTCAATTCAAGAAGGACAAGTGAATCAGTGTTTTTACACACCCCTATTTTCGTGTTAATAATTAATTCCGGAATCCAATTACATCTTAAAAAAAATCATTTTTGGTCAATATTTGTTTTTTCATAAAATCAAATAAATACACAATCAATGAATCTATTTTCATTTGTTATTTTTCTAAACCCAATCCTAATCCCGATGCACTTCTGCACTATTAAATAAAGAATTTATGACATCCAATACTTTCTTAAAATTTTGATTTTACTTGTGTCAGTCACTAATAGTGTTCCCTCTATCATTTCCTGAATACTGAAAAATGATACAACACTTGCCTAAAAAGCAGAACACACAAATTGAGAATGTGACAGAGACACATATAGTGCAATCACATTCCCGTGAACTCTTTCGCTTCACCTCCCTTGCAATTCCGACCACCTTCTTCACACACACACACACACACTTAGGTTCACAATCATGTTTCATTTCCACAAAGGTGACACCGTCGAGGTCACCAAGCCCAAAACCACCACCACCACCAACTTCTACTACCCTGCCACGGTGGTTCGACCTCCTTCGAAGCGCAAAAACCTCGTTTTCCTCGAGTACCTAACCCTCTTCGCTCCCTCCGAGGAATCCCAACCACCCAAACACCTCAGAGAGAACGTTAACGTCGCAAGCGTGAGGCCCAAGCTTCCCCACCAGTTAAATTCATGGTTCAAAGTCGGTGACGCCGTCGACGCTTACCGTCAAACCCACAATGCGTGGTGCCCCGGAACCGTCTCCGACATCCTCGAAAACTCTAACTACCTCGTCGCATTTCACGATGATGATTCCGCCGCCGTCGACCACTGTAACCTCCGCCTTCACCGGAATTGGGTCCACGGGAATTGGGTCCCACCTCTCCCCGACAAGGTTTATGTTTAGGTTTTGTTGGCATTAATATATTTATGTTTGGTAATTAATATATGTTTATGTTTATATAGTAATTAATATACATTAATCACTTCACCTAAATCAATTTCAATTCCCATTCCTCTCATTGCAACATTGCATCAAGCATCTTCACATACGTAGTTGTTGTGTTGTGTTGCGTCGCATGTTTATGTTTGATAATTAATATATGTGAAACTTTGAGTTGGCAGGAGCAGCACCCTGTGATGGTGACAGAGCCTGAAAATTTAAGGTTTAAGATTAAATATAGTAGGAAACCGCTAAAGGAATCAAAGTTTAAGAAAGGGGAAACAGTGGAAGTTAGAAGCGATGATGAAGGTTATAAAGGTGCTTGGTTTATTGCTACTGTTGTTGATATAATAGGTAAAGACAGGTTTCTTGTAGAATATAGGGACCTTACTACAGATGATGGTACCCAGGATTTGAAAGAAGAAACACACGCAAGGTTTATTAGGCCTTGCCCCTCTCAACTTGCATTTGTTGCTTCTTTCAAACAGTTCCAAGAAGTTGATGCATGGTACAATGATGGGTGGTGGGAAGGTGTGGTTCTTCAAGTACTGAATAGCAGGGAATGTTTTGTTTCTTTCATTGACAATGATGTGTTGAGATGTGAAAATTCTAAACTAAGGCCTCATCAGGATTGGGTTAACGGAAGATGGGACATGCCTTCCAAGGTAAAATCACTTTGAAGCTTTTCCCCTTTTATAAATTGAATTTTTTCTTCTGAAACTGCAGTTGATATTGACAATTCCCAAAATTGATTTAGGGGATGATAGAACTTCAAACATTATCACTTGTAGAAATCATTTAAAAGTTTTTACTCTCTTAGATTTGATTAGATTATCATGTGTCTTGTTACTTATGAATCAGTTTTTCTGAAAGAGTTCTACGATCTGTTGAAACTTGAGATATCAATGGAATGATTCCAAGATAAAGCTTTGTAAAAACTTCTGGCAAAGGAACTTACAAAAACAAAGCATTGACATCCTGTTTAACTTGTGAACTGTTCGTGTTTGTCACTTAATTTAAAGATGTCTTCTTAGTTGCTTTGAAATTGGATTCAAGTTCAATTCTGCGGTAATGTTATGTGCAAAGGTATCATTTGCTTCCTTATTTTTCTTATATTATTAAATTTTGTTTATGCGGGGAATGTTTAAATGTACCTGACAATGTTTTTGGATTTTAAAATATCAGAAATCAAGTGAGCTGACAAAGAAGTTTGGAGATGTGATGTCTAAAGCCAAGAATATTACTGGAAATAAATTAATATTTAAATGTCAAAAGCCTTGTGAGCTTGCGAAGAAGCCTACAGATGTAATGTCAAGGACCACGAACACCGGAAGCAAATTTGTGTTACATTTCTGTAAAGGTGCAAAGGTAGAAGTTAGAAGTGATGAAGAAGGCTACCAAGGTGCCTGGTATACTGCCCTTATTGTTAACTCTTTGCAGAATGGCAAGTACTTGGTGGAGTATTTGACCTTGAAAACTGATGACTTAACTGAACAACTAAAAGAAGCGGCAGATGCTTCAGATATCAGGCCATATCCACCAGATATCAATCATCGTCACCACTTTACGCCGCGGGAATGGGTTGATGCTTGGTATAATGATGGATGGTGGGTAGGTCAAGTATCTACTGTTCTTCGTGGCTTCAAGTACAGGGTTTACTTTTCGACTACAAAAGAGGAGCTAGAATTTGATCATTGTCACCTGAGGCCCCATCAGGAATGGATCGATGGAAGATGGGTACTTGCTTCTTCGGTATGTCTTCAACAACACATCCTTTGATTTGTTAATTTGGCCTTTTAATGTGATGTGCTTGGTATAATTCACTGATCTTCATCACAATTATATTTACTTAGTAATCTCACAATGTGCTGGCAATGACCCTTTAAGCTCGTGGCTGCTCATTGTGTGGAATTTTGCTTATTGTTTCCCACATTTTAAATATTATTTTTGTTACTATGGATCTCTTATTAGGCTTTGATATAGTAGTTCCATCAGCATTTCTAGAACGATGTCTTTATTTAAAGGTAACAAATAATGTCTCTTTCTCTTTTGCGTTCCGTCTCAGCTGTGAAGATGTTAGGCCACCCATTACTAGAGTCTACTCTAGGAGGATGCATAGGGGATTATATTGTGAGATGTAAGACAAAAGTTTTTCTTATTTGATACTTTTTGATTTACACTGAAAAGGTATATCTATACAAGAGTAAATGAGAAAAAAGAGAAACAAATTAAAATCCCTATTAAAGGAAAAAATAAATCTCTAATTAATAGGCTATAAATCAGGGATATGATTGCATCCCAAATAAAAACAGAAAGATTCTAATCCTGATTTTCTACACTCCCTCTCAAGTTGGGAGGTAAATGTTGATTATTCCCAACTTGCCAATCAGGTCTTCAAAGGCTGGCCGATGTAGGCCCTTAGTGAGGATATTTGCAATCTGCTCTTTGGTAGGAATATACCTCATACATACACTTCAATCATCTATTTTTTCTTTGATAAAGTGGCGATCAACCTCCACATGTTTTGTTCTGTCATGGTGAACTGGATTTTGAGCAATACTGACAGCAGCCTTATTATCACAATATACTCTGACAGGTAGGGAAAAAGAGCTTTTCAATTCCTCAATGAGTCTTCTTAACCAAATTCCTTCACAAATACCATGGGCTAGAGCCCGAAATTCTGCTTCTGCACTTCTCCGGGCAACAACTGTTTGTTTCTTACTTCTCTAGGTCACAAGATTTCCCCAGATATAGGTGCAATATCCTGAAGTGGATCTTCGGTCCAATGCAAAGCCAGCCCAATCTGCATCTGTATATATTTAAATCATCCTCTAGTGTCCTCTTTTAAAGAACAATCCTCGACCAGGGGTGTTTTTGAGGTACTTCAGAATTCTATAAACTGCATTCAAGTGTTTTTCCTTAGGAGAATGCATGAATTGACTAACCATGCTTACTGTAAATGCAATATCAGGTCGAGTGTGAGATAAGTAGATCAACTTCCCCACCAATCTCTGATATTGCTCTTTGTCAACTTCTTTCCCATCTTCAATTCCCAATTTAATATTGGGTTCAATTGGAGTCTCTGTTGGTTTGCACCCAAGCATTCCTGTTTCTTGTAACAGGTCTAGAATATATTTCTTCTGAGTTAAAGAAATTCCTGCCTTACTTCGAGCAACTTCCATGCCCAAGAAATATTTGAGAGATCCAAGATCCTTCAGTTCAAACTGATCAGCTAAACACTTCTTCAAAGAGCTTATCTCCTCACAATCATTACCTATGACAATTATGTCATCAACATAAACAATGAGAATAGCAATTTTACCACCATTAGAGTGTTTTAAAAATAAAGTGTGATCAGTCTGAGCTTGGAGGAATCCTCTTCCCTTAACAGCTTGAGTAAACTTCTCCAACCACTCTCTAGGGGATTGTTTAAGAGACCAGAGAGAGACTTCTTCAACTTGCATACTAAACCGTCTCCTTTTTCAAAACCAGGTGGTGGATCCATATAAACTTCTTCATGTAGATCACCATTCAAGAAGGCATTCTTTACATCTAATTGTTGCAAGGGCCAACCAAGATTGGCAGCAAGTGATAAAAGAACTCGGATAGTGTTAAGCTTGGCAATATGGGCAAATGTCTCCTGATAGTCTATCCCATGAGTCTGAGCGAATCCCTTAGCAACTAGTCTGGCCTTATACTTGTTGATGTTGTTATCTGCATTAAACTTTATTGTGAACACCCACTTGCAACCTACTATTTTCTTTCCTCTAGGTAATGCTACAGACTCCCAAGTTCCATTTTTGTTGAGCGCATCCATTTCTTCAGAGACTGCATTCCTCCGTTTTGGATTATCAAGTGCTTCTTGGATATTTTTTGGTATTTTTGTACTGTCTAACATAGTGTTGAAAGCACAAAAACCTGGGGACAACTTTTCATATGTAATGTGATGAGAAATAGGATGAGCAGTACAAGATCTAGTACCTTTTCGGAGAGCAATAAGCACATCTAGGTCGGCTGTATCAGTGTTGCTGGAACTAAGACTCGAGTTAGAATTCTGGCAGTCTAGAGGCTCTTGAGATGATTCTCGCTTGCTGTAAAACTTTCCCTATTTACCAGGAGGATCTCCGTTATCTGACACATTAGCTCCCCCTGTCTTTTGCATAATGACTCCCCCTGTCTCCAACGACAAAGGTAAAACAACAGAATCATTTGGTTTCCAAAACTTATCTTCATCTACCCCAATAGACTCCCCCTGAAGAGAAGTCGAAGGAAAAAAAGATTGTCTCTCATCAAATGTGTCATCCATAGAAACAAAGACCTTACGAAGAAAAGATGAGTAACACTTGTAGCCCTTTTGGTTAGGAGGATATCCTCTGAAGACACATTTAATAGACTTAGGATCGACCTTGGACCTTTGATGGGGAGGAACATGTACAAAAGTCACACAGCCAAACAACTTGGGAGGAAGGGAAGAGTGAGCTCGGAAAGAAGGAAAGGTGTGGGTAAGACAAGATAAAGGAGATTGAAAATTTAGGACACGAGAAGGCATCTGATTGATGAGGTATGCTGCAGTCAAGACAGCTTCTCCCACAGATATTTAGGGACATACATGGTAAACATAAGAGCTCGAGCAACTTCAAGGAGATGTCTATTTTTTCATTCAGCCATCCCATTTTGTTGAGAGGTGTTAGGACAAGAACTTTGATGAAGAATACCATGCTGGACGAGATAGTTTCCAAGAACAGAATTAAAATATTCAGTACCATTGTCAGTTCGAAGAATTTGGATAGAGGTTTGGAACTGAGTTTGAATCATAGCATGAAAGTTTTTAAAAGTGGATGTAGCGTCAGACTCATCCTTTAGAAGGTATACCCAACATACCCTAGAGTGATCATCAATGAAAGTTATAAACCAACGAGCACCAGAGATTTTTTTTTTTACGTGCTTGACCTCATATATCACTATGAATCAAGGTAAATGAAGAAGAATCATGATGGACTCTAGGAGGATAAGAAACACGAGAATGTTTTGCAAACTGACAAATATCATAAGAAAAAGAATTGGGATTTTTATTGATAAATAAGTTTGGGAACAACTTGTGAAGATAAATGAAATTTGGGTGTCCTAACCAATAATGCCACAACAAAACATCAGTACAATCATCAGACAAAGATACCGAGGGGTTCACAAATTTTTTTTCTTCACAAGGATATTTTTCAAAATAACAGAGTCCTTCTTCCTCTCTAGCACTGCCAATCATTAGCCCCGAGTCCTGTTCCTGGAAAAACAAGCATCGACAGAAAACTTGGCAACACAATGTAACTCAGAGGTAAGTTTGCTTATAGAGATGAGATTACAAGTAAGAGAGGGAACATGAAGGATTGAGTTCAAAGTAATGTGTTCAGAAAGTTTAATGGATCCTTTTCCAGCAATAGTAGAGAAGCTGCCATCTGCTGTTTTTATTCGTGACTGTTGATAGTAACGGGTATAAGAACAAAATAAGGTTGCATTACTTGTCATATTATTAGAAGCCCCTGAATCAAGAATCCAACGACTACTATTATCAACATGCAATGCCGTACCTTGTTGAGCAACATTGCTAGATGGAAATTTACTTTCAATCAAATTGGAAGCTAACGTATCCAATTCGAACACAGAGGAAGCTAAGGCATGGGACATGATACTCTTTGAGTCATCCAAGGCAGAAAACTTGGAGTTTGTTACAGAAACAACAGCAGAAGTGGAACTGTTTCGCGCCCAACAGTAGCAACAGTCACTCTCTAAGTTGTTTTTTTCTTGGATAGCCATAGTCCGAAATAAAAAAAGTCTCTAATCACTTATTTGAGCCTTCAAACTAGGGGTGTTCGCGGTCTGGATTGGATCGGTTTTGGAAGCAAAAAATCATCTGATCCAATCCCTTCGGTTTGATCATGTAATCATCCATTCGGTTTGGATTTTTTTCAAATCCGATCCGATCCAATCCAATTTTTTTCGGTTTGGATTGGATCGATTTTCGATTTTTTGAAAATCCTAAAATTTGTTTCATGATTATTGTGCAAATAACATCTTTTGTATATATTGGCTTTGTAATTTTTTTTTAAATACAAAAGCATCAATAAACAATAATATAGTTTATTTTTTGGACAATGATATATGAAGCTCTACATAGATGAAATTTTGTTGATGAGATGTGATTAGATTTTTTCTTGAGTTTAGTTAATGGGTCTTGGATTTAGAAATTTGTGGGCTATGATTGGGAAAAGACCCAAGTAGGTAGAGAGAAATTAATATATTGGATCGGTTTTCATCTATCAATCCGAAAATCGATCTAATCCAATTAAAATTTGCGGTTTTTTTTTGGTTTTTGGTTTTTCAGTTTTCAGTTTATTCGGTTATCGATTTTTCGGTTCGCTTACCGTGGTTTGAATCGGTTTGGATCGGTTGATGAATACCCCTATTTCAAACAGATAGGAAAGAGAGAGAAAGCCGAAAGAGACCTCTCCGAACTGAAACAAAGCACTGCAGGGAGGCGCGTGGCTTGCACGTGATGTATTGTGGCTGCGCGTATGGCGGACGCTCCATCCTTTCTCTGGCGCATGGGGGTGCGTGGCTCAGTAGAATCCGGTGGTCCTTCTTGGAACTTGTAGATCGGCTCGTTCTGTTTCGAATGGTGTGGGTCTTGGCTGACGGAGATGGATTAAAGTAGGGAAGAGAAAGGGGAGGGGTAAGGAAGTATTAAGAGAAAAGTGAGAAGGAAGAGAGACCTGGCCTCTCTAAAGCCAGCTGCTATCTTCATTTTCCTATTTTGTTCGTTTTCTTCCATTTCTATGCTTTAAACAGACACATATATCACTGATATTGCTTTCATATCAATGGAACTAGTACCTGTTTCTGCAATTTCTGTCAATTCCGAGTAAATTCTCTTGATCCCTACCGGAGTTTTTTCTCCAATATAAGTGTTTGCCTTCTTTTCTCTTGCCTTTCTATTGGAGAATTCATGATCATGGCCCTTTTTTTTGTGGGGGTGTGTGTACTTTTCTAGTCTTTGGAGATTTTTTTACCCATGAATCTTGATAAATGCTAATTGTTAGTTTCCCAATTTCTGCCAAATTAGCGGATTCATGTGAATAATTCTGATAGTTGTAGTTTGGAATGTTAAATGCATTTAGAAATTCTGTGGAATTAAAAGCTTAAGCAGTTATGCTTGAAAAAATATTAAGACAAAAAATTGTAGTCTTAGATTATTACAATTTTGATACCTTTCTTCCCCTAGTAATTTAATGAAACTTGTCTTTGTTCCTCTTTTCATTTCATGTATTTGAGCTGGATTATCAGCTGATGACTAAACTTACTTCGTTATGAGTTGAGTGCTTGATTGCATTACACGTTCCTTTTACCAGGGGGGTAAAATTGAATGCTTTGGTTCTTTTCTCTTGGTTCCTTTCAGGGTTGAAGATATGATCATTAGTGAATTACTTGAGGTGCTTCCTGCCACCTTGCTATCTTCACTCAAGATGTTTTCTGCAACCATCACAGGCTCACTTCTCCCACATCTAATTAGCTTGTTGCAATTTTGCTGAATGCATTTCCTTTGAGCGCTTTCTGGAGTTGAAATGTAATCTGTAAATATGTGGAACATGTTGGTATTGCCCATGCCCACCCTGATGCTAATCTCACTGACATTACTTTTGAACATATATATACGATGTTAATATACTTAAAACCTAAAATCCAGAAAGTTCATGTATGATGACATAATGAATTGAGTCTGTGTCTTAATTGCAAATTAGTTACATTGACATTATTATTCAGTCAACTATTGCTCCAAAAGAATCACATGTCTAAAAATATATAATTTAAAATTGAGTAATAATGTTTCATATATTTACATTTGTATACTTTAACATACTTATTTTAAGTCATTAGATCATACTTTAAGTTTCATTATAACATTTTCAAAATGGTTTAGGATTTTTAGTTTGTACAGTGCACACACTTAAGTATGTTCAAGCAGGGATGGCCTAGTCAGGGTAACATTTTTCTCAAGATGGAGACATTCTAGAGGATTATGAGGCACCCTTTATTGCTGTAACCTGTAAAGTTAGGATTTTCAATAGGAAGGAAAACAATAATACAATGATTATAAAAAAAATAACCTTTTTCTGGAGGATTTTCTGATTTCCATGTGAAAGAAATAAAAAAGAAAACATACATGAAAAAATGAGATGCTGTGGTCCCTTTGTTAGAAGTGCACCTAGACAATGGGTTTGGTTAAATGAACAACCACAAGCTTCATGGATTCAAATTTCTGGTCTCTTTTTTTGTCTTTTTTGATTAAAAGGTAAGTATAAAAGACTATAAATTAGGAGAAAAATAATTGCAAAAACGTGGTTTTTGTGTGTGTGTGTGTGTGTGAATATTTAATGAGAGAAGCAAGTGACATAAATAGGGACAGAAAAATCCATTGGAAGCTTGACCTAGTCATTCATTAATTCGTAATAATAATAATGTTCCTTTCCAAAACACTACTCCTCACTCTTGACAGTGACCCTTAATTGCTCTTTTCACCTCACATTCATCCCTTGCAAAAGGAAGGCACATATTACTTTATTCTGAAGATTACGTAAAGAATTTGGAAAGAGACAAAAGCCATTTGTAAGCATATTCTTGAGGAAATAAACCTTGTTTAGCATATTCTCTGATGAGGGTACCTCATCTTTTACAGAGGTCCTCTAATTCTTGAGAAAATACAAGCATTAAATAATTAAAACTATACATAGCATCAGCATAATCCATAAATTACAATAATTTTTATTATAATTTTTTATCTAATTACAATTTGATCATCCTCCACCACTTTTCTTTTGTTTCCTCCTGAACTTCTTTCCCAGCTTGGAAGAGAGAAACTGGAAAAGACATAGACAAGCCAACCATAGATTTGAAGGTAATGACAGATCCCTCTGGAGGGCCTTTGACATGAATCTCATTCAAGGTGAACCAAAGCAAGAAATCCTTAGCCTTCACGCCAGTGAGATTCTTGATCTTGTTTGGTTCAACATAAGCAGTGACAACTGAATCATAGCAAACAATTATGTTATCAAACCTGTGCTCCCTCTTCTTCTCAAGCTTGAGCCAAACAAAGCCTTTTTCCTTCACATAACCGCATTCTTCAATGTCCTCTATGGTCAATAATCCATCTGGTAAGCCTATTTCTGCCAGCAACAAAGAGAACTTCTCCCTGCAAACTTGGTCTCCATAACACACCTCTGCTTTGGCCTTTAGCTCCTCTGTTACAAGAGTCATTCTTTCTTCTTTGTCTAGCAACCACAAACTGGTGCTTGTTGTGCTTGTGCTTGTGTTGGTGACTACAAATGATTCTTCTTATGTAATCTATCCTTAGAAGGGTATATACTTATAGGAATTGGGAATATGAAGCAGTTGTAAAACTTTGAGGGCTTCCACAACTTGCCACAATAGATAGATTACTCATTTTTGGGTTCAACCCAATATTGAGGTATTTTTTTTTGGGGGGGAGAAAGCCCAATTGGGGTTTCAATACTTGACATTTGCTGCCAAACCCAAATATATTACTTTTTCTTTCTTTTTTTTGAACAGACCCCAAGTATATTAGGTTGAAAGATTTTATAAGAGTTATGTTGTAGGAAAAGTGATTGTGTAATGTTATAGAGATTCGTTTTGCGTGCCGCAATTTTTTTTTTTCTTCAAAAAGTGTGAGCTCCACAAAATGTTATGTGTGTATGAAAGTTTGTTGTGTCATGTTAAATGATAAATGCAAATCTCATCATTATATTAAGGAAAAAATGACATCTTATATCATTTTACTCTTATAAAGAGGTGAGATTCACATTTTTAAAAAAAATTTCCCCAACTCTCTCTCCTATGATTTATCTCTCTTAAAATGACACAACTTTATATTATTTAAAATGATACACATTTTTTCCTTATATTAAACTCATTTAACGCTTTTGAAATTACTAGTGGGTGAAAGTGAAAGAATTCAAAATAATACACGCTTTTTATAATTAAATGTTAGGGCTAACTTATGCGGGTCTCTTAAACTAATTTTCCTAATTGATATCATTAAAGATATATTATTTAGGTTCAGAGTATACAAAAAAAAACTAACAATTTGATCACAAAAAATTAACAAAACTATATTTTAAATATGAGAAAAATGTTTCTGCTTTTACTACAGAATTTTTTTTTCTGTCACACTCACATAAAAGTAAATAAGTCTCATTATAAATAGAAGAGAAAGAAAAGATTAATGAAATCTACTTACTTTTATGTTAGTGTGATAGATGAATTTTTCTACTGTAAAAGCACAAACATCAAACCATTTGAATATATATGCTCTTAACTACCCATTAGATACTTGCTTTTACTATTGGGCCTATCGTTGAGATTGTGATTTTTTTTTTTTAGAAATAAGATTGTGATATTTAACTATCTATTTAGAGTTTAAAATTAACTTATAATTACTTTTCATGACAAGTGTGTTTATCAAATTTTGGATTTTAAATGTTGATCAATTTAAGAGAAATTGTATCTCATCACATATGGTTGGGCTTAATCCAAATTGATGGTTGATAGATTGTTATAGCAGGATTTGGTGTTCAGCTACACATGATGATATGATGATATGTGTGGGATGATGGTTAGTTTTGGTGAAATATGTTTGTCAAGAACAATTGAGATGAGTACCTGTAATGCATTTTGATACTCAAATCAGTACTTGAGTGATGAATTTAAGTAAATTGAAGTTTTAGCCTCTCTTTTTTATAATAGTAGCATAACCTACTTGTTGCCTTGTTATATGGCTTTAATATTGTGGCACATCTCTTGTTGGTAAGTCATGGTGACTTTGTTAGCTTATTTTGTAATTAGGACACCATTTTGTGGACTACGATGCTTAGAATTAGAGGTGACAAAGTTGGTGGTCTGCCCCGCCCGGCCCACTCTGTCAAAAAATGAGTCAGTCTGTCCCGCCTTACTTTTGAAAATGGGCTGAAAAACTATGTCCGCCCCGCCCCATTTGACGGGTTGGGCGGGTTGGTCCGTCAGCCCAAGCTTATTTTACATTGATCCGCCTATGCCCGCCAAAAAACGAGCTCACCTCACCCGCTTTTGAGATGGGTTTAAAAACTCAGCTCGCCCCCGCCCCGTTTAGCTGGTGGGGCGGGTTGGCCCGCCGAGCCAAGCCCATTTTGCCAGCTCTACTTAGAATGACTGGAACCTATACTTTTTTTTTTAGTTATTGGCTATTAAGTAAGGGTGTAAATGAGATAAGTCGACCTACAAAGGCCTATGACTTAGCTTACATTAGGCCAGACTTGACCTATTATAAATAATCAAATAGAACATGCTTAGACTTTTAATAAAATCAATTTAGAAAGCAGACCATAGTTTTTTTTTGTACATGTCGGGTCTATAAGTCTACAGGTCGATTTATATCATATTATTTATTTAAAATAAAATAAATAAAATTATTATTTTAATAATTTTGAATAATAAATTAATATTATGTTAGTTATTTTTTAATTGTTAAATACTTAATAGGCTTAAAAAGACTATCAGGTCTATATCAATACTTTTATTTTTTAAATATAAGTCAAACCAGACGTGTAATTTGGAGCCTACACAAGTTAATAGGCCAAGTTAGACATAAGATATTTTATACAGGCTAGCCTATCTAAATCAAATCTAACCTAACCTATTTACACTACTAGTATTACTATTAAGGAGACTTATCAATCATATGATGTCATCAAACTTAGCTGTGTATTCCGAGATTGTCTATGGGAAAAATGTCTATCATTTAAAAGGATGGTCCTTTTAGATGAATGTAGTGCATTTTTTTAAATTTTTCCCTCCACTCTCTCTCCCCCATAGTTTATTCTTTTATCTCTCTTAAAAAGATATAAGTGTGTGTCATTTAAAAGGACACACACTTTTCTCATTGTCTATACATATTTTCTTACGGACTAAGTTTATATCTTTAAGGGGGCGTTTGGTACGCGGGATTCTTCAAGATTATCGGGAAATTGAATTTTTCTAAATTTTACATTTATGAATATTATCATAAATTGAATGTAAAAATCATATTTTTAAAAATTGAGATTCTCGACTAAAAAAAAAATTCCTATACCAAACGCCGCCTAAGATGTTTTTGAACGGGATCTTTTATCCCGTTTAATATAGGATCAAATTAACTATTAATGATATTTTCTTAGAATAACAAAATAATGAAGCCAAACCCATCTCAATTATTGGTCCATAATTTTAATAAATATGAAAATAGGTTATAGCAAGCTCATGTCATTGTCAATGAATAAGCTTGTCGATAAAGAATAAAAGTAAGTGTGTATTCATTATTATTTTAATTTAAATTAAAATATTTTTAATCTTAATATACTAAATTATAACATATAAAAAAATAAGCGTTCAGTCAGCATTCTATATTCATCATCAGTCCCGTACTTTGGTGTACGTGTCGCATATTCCGTCGATGTGTCACTCGTTCGTTCTTCCGATCCCCTTCTCTCTCTCTCTCTCTCTCTCTCTCTGCTTCTTTTGCCCCTTTATCCTTGTAGAACGAGCAAGTTCACGTTCTTTCTTGTATGAATCCTTAAACTCAGTAAACTTGGTCCACACATTACTCATACCCAATTCTATCTTTTGTGTGTGGGTTTTTGGGTAAACGCTATTGCTTCAATATATATTTTGTTCTTGCGTGTGTGTGTGCGCGCGGCGAAAATGACAACTGAAATTCCATTAAACCCTATTATTTGTTCAAATGTAAACGGGAAACGAAATTGAAATCCCAATTTTCCCATTCTTATTCTTCAACCATCACAAATCCACCACCTCTAAAAAGTTGAATCCTTTCTCTCTTTCCATTCCATCAAGGTGCAGCTTCATCGGATACCCCAAATTTTGTTCCGGTAAGCAAAGTTCGAAACTTTATCTTGTTTTTTTGGTTACCCATATTTTGATTTTCTTTTCAAATCTGTTATTCAAAACTTGTTTTCGTATTTGAGGTTTTCAATTATGGATATACGAGGAAATGGGATTTTCCCGGATGAGGTGGTTATTCAGATTCTTGCAAGGTTGCCTGTGAAGCCCCTTTTTAGATGCAAAACCGTGTGTAAACTCTGGTATAGGTTGACCTTGGATAAGTATTTCATTAATCTCTACAATGAGGTGTCTAGGAAGAACTCCATGATTCTGGTGGAGATTTCAGATTCATCTGACTCCAAATCTAGCTTAATATGTGTTGATTATTTAAGGGGTGTCTCTGAATTTTCACTGAATTTCTTGAATGATAGAGTTAAGGTTCGAGCATCTTGTAATGGCTTGCTGTGTTGCTCTAGTATTCCTGATAAGGGTGTCTTCTATGTTTGCAATCCTGTCACTCGTGAGTTCAGGTTGCTACCTAAGAGTAGGGAAAGGCCTGTGACTCGGTTTTATCCGGATGGTGAAGCTACCTTGGTTGGCTTGGCCTGCGATTCAACATATCAGAAGTTCAATGTTGTTCTAGCAGGTTGCCATCGCACTTTTGGTCATAGGCCGGATGGAAGTTTCATATGTTTGGTGTATGATTCGGAGTTGAACAAGTGGAGGAAGTTCATTTCGTTCCAAGATGACCATTTTACTCATATGAATAAGAACCAAGTTGTTTTTGTCAATAATGCTCTGCACTGGTTGACTGTTAGCTCCACTTATATACTTGTGCTTGATTTGAGTTGTGACATTTGGAGGAAGATGCCATTACCATATGACTTGATTTATGGAATGGGAAATAGGATTTATCTCTTGGACTTCGATGGCTGCTTGTCTGTTGTTCAAATTTCAGAAGCATGGATGAACATATGGGTGCTAAAAGATTATTGGAAAGGTGAATGGTGTATGGTGGATAAGGTGAGTCTGAGGTGTATCAGAGGTATGGTTCCAGGCATTTTCCCAATCAGTCAGACAGGTGAATATGTTTTTTTGGCAACTCATAAGCAGGTTTTAGTGTATCATCGCAAGAGTCAAGTTTGGAAAGAAATGTACTCTGTGAAGTATAGCTCAACACTCCCATTATGGTTTTCAGCACATGCATATCGCAGCACGATGTTCTCATGTAACTGAGGCATGGTGACTACATTAAATAGCTTTTGTACATATGTTTCTAGTTGCTAGTATTTGATGCTTATGTAGCCAGTGTTATTTGCGGAAGGTATTGTATGTTTCTGGTACATAAAATATTTACTCATTTAGCCATTGTTAGTTGCTAGTATTTGATACTCATTTAGCCATTGTGATATTGGTTTTTCCATGGAGGTGTAGTATTTTCCATGTTCTCTTCTAACTTAGGTGTGGCTTCATTAAATAACCTTTGTAAATATAATTTAGTTGCAAGTATTTGATACTCATTTGGTCATTGTTATCTGCTGTAGATATTGTATGTTTCTGATATGGTATATTTATTTTAAAACTGTTATGTTGGCTTTGCGATGGATGTCCTTTTATGCAGTATCTATACTCATATATAAACATCATCTAATTGATTTCTCTGTTTTTAAAACTGTTATGTTACTTGTACTATATGGAAATACAATATATCTCTTGTTCGAGGTATTAGCCAGTTATTTACTTGTTCTATTTTATGCTATCTGATTATCTTCTCCAGCTGAAACAGTGCAATCTTAATATCTTCCTTCATTAGGCTATATCTTATGTAAAGTGCTGGGTTCTGATTTTATTTTGTTAAATTTATTCAATTCTCATATGCAACTTTTTTCATTGATATACAACTTGCTCAATTACTTAATAATTTACTTTTCTCCTGGTACAAAATTGAAAACTGCATGAGTACTGCCCCTTTTTTTCATACGCAGACAACTTCTAGGGATGAATTCAAGTTCTAGATATCCATGCCATCCAATTTTTATGTAGGCTAATTTAGCATTCTTGTTATAGAATAGGTTGTATGCTTGTGAATATAATATTTGCAACCATGACATATCATAACTCTTGGATTCACATACGAGCTAAAGAGAATTCATAATGTAAAACAGTTTTGTGTTACCAGTAAGGCATTGTGTCACGTATTTAAAAACTTAAAATCTTTGCAATTGAAATAATTTAGTTACTGTTATGACAGAACACGTTCTTTTTTACTAACTCGAAAAGAAAACATTGGAAATCTTGTAGGTAATCAAATGGCGGAGGACTATACACTCATTTGTTGTTTTACTATACAATTTATTGATTGAAGGATACAGCTTACCTTTTTTTGTGGGCATCAAAAGTGTTTAACAAATAGTATTTTAAGGTTAAAGAGTTTTTTTTTTGTTTTTTTTTTCTTCTTCTAAATATTGTAGTCCATAGAGAAAAATAGCAGATTTTGTTTTATATTCGTTTAAAAGCATGCATACTCTTTCCGTTCTAGTTTCATTATCATAAGAATCAATCCTAATTTGAATGATGATGCTATCTATAATGAAGATGATATGTATGGCTAACTTAAATTTTCTTTAAAGTAGGGTAGGTCATGCTTTCTGAATATAAACAAAATTATATTATTTTGCTCTGTTTGTGGGTTTTAATTCGGAACAGTGACCATTTTGCCACTGTTGGCAAAAAAAAAAATATCAAAATGCCACGCCAACGGTAAATTTTGTTAAAATGTCACGTGACATATTTCGTTACACTGTGTAGCGAAATATGTGTGCAAATAATTCGCTACACGGTGTAGCGAAATATGCCACGTCAGAACCAAAAATGTCACATGTCAAACAGGGAAAATTTCGCTACACAGTGTAGCGAAATTCTCCCTGTCTGACACGTGATATTTTTGATCATGTGCATTCTACGTGGTATATTTCGCTACACTGTGTAGCGAATTATTTGCACATATATTTCGTTACACAGTGTAGCGAAATATATCACGTGACATTTTGATAAAATTTACTATTGACGTGACATTTTGGTTTTTTTTTGCCAACAGTGACACTTTGATCACTGTTCCTTTTAATTCCCCTGCATTAATGTGTGACCATTGACTAGTAGGCATCTTACAATTAGAGATATATTAAAGTCAATTTCACTTGTATTTTTCTTGGAATTACCTACTCTCTGGTTCTGGAGGGATTAGTCATTTAGTCAAAAACTCAAACCTCACTCTACCAACCCATTCAATGCCACGTGCGTGATGTATATCGTGAGCATCAGAAACAAAAATGGTAAATTTAGTAAGGCCTGCCTCACCAGTGTTGAACATACAATATTAAACTTACATGTGCATAAACCGTATATAAAAACAAGAAAGTATACGTAATTTAAAAATAAAATAAAATAAAATACAAGAGTATCAAAGCCTAGGAAATACATAAATCAATGGAGATAAGTGTAATTTTCTAAATCACAAAAGTGTAAGTGTAATTATCACTTAGGGAGAAATTAGAGCAATTATCCCTGGGGTTATTGTTAGAAGAACCTTTGCCAGTTTCTAATATCTTTTGTTAACAAACTTTTCAGAGCGAAAAGAGAGGCTGATATCCCATGGAGAAAGAGGTGAGCAAGTTCGCCGCATGTGAAACTGAACACGCACTTCACTTTGCACAATGTTTCGTTTGCGCCGAATTTCCGTTGCAACTTGATATCTGTATCACAATTTTTATATCACTAACACAAAAAACTGACAAATACCCAAAAGAAGATACTAGAAACTAGCAAAGGTTCTAACAGTTATATTGGTTATTAATCAAAATTAAAAAGTCTTCATAATTGCTTGACTTCGTATAATAAATAAGGGTTTTAATGTTTGTATAATGAATACAGATAATTTATTTATATTTATTTCTAAAACGATATCGTTTTAGTCTCAATGCATATAATTTATTTGCGTTTACTGCCGACAAAACGAATCTATAAATAAAATATAAAAAAAAATGATTAACTAAAAAAATTAAATAAACTCATTTAAATTTGCTCATTAAACTCAAATCTTAAACATCATTTTTATAATCAATTTTTTTTTTCATTTTTACTTTACGTTTTTTCATTTATTATGGATCACCTACCAAGACTTCTAAATCGTATAATTACATTATAGGTGAGAATATTAGAATAAACCAGCGGACATAAGATCCTTGCGGCCTAACTTATGTATGATCTGAATTTTCCTAACCCATTTAGCAATAAGCTGTGTTTCGTTTTTTTTTTTTTAAAAAAAATATTTTTAACCTTTAAAAATGTCTTTCAGACTTGGTAGACGGCAAAAAAATTAAAATAATGTATTTAAATTAAATAATTACGCATTTAATGTTGTTTTGTAAAAAATTACACATCTACTGCACAATGTGACGCCCAAATGGGGCGTCTCTCCCCTGGAGAAGACGCCCCATTGGGGCGTCACATGTGACGCCTAAAAGTGGCTTCACATATGTGCTCTATATATTTTCTCACCCCCTCCATTCAATTCTCACCTCTTCTCTCACTCTTCATATCTCTCTTCTCCACCAACATTCCTTTATCTTTAATTTAGTATTTGAATTTTATTTCTTATTCTATTTAAAAATGAGCTCAAATCCTGATTCTGTTTGTGTTGTGTTATATTACAATGGTAGGAAGGTAGAAGGTCGACGAGGTGTCATCTTCGAAGGTGAAAAAAGGCCGACACGTATCCAACGCAACACAACCATTGGCGAACTGCATCAGAGAATTCGGCAGAAGTTAAGTTTTCCAGACAACCAATGTATCACTGAGATCACGACAAGGGTGTGGCAAGGTGATAAATACATTAGTGTGAAAGTGCTTGATGATGAAGACTTGGAGATGACAATTGAAGAATTTTGCAACCAGTCAAGGACAGATTTTCTAGAGTTGTATGTCGACATCGCCGCAACCGAGAATGCTCCCTTACCTGTGAGGTCAGTTTATTTAAATTCTCCCCGTCTTCCAGCTTCTCCTGCCGCTCATGCGTCTCCTGTTGGTAACTTTTCTGAGGGAGATGAAAATGATCCGACTTGGGAAATGCACGACGAAGATGACGACGACGACGATGAAAATATGGCAATGGAAGAACGTCTTCTGGTGGAGGATGCTAGTGCTTCAGAAGGAGATGAATCCCGTGAGATGGGTGCGTCTCAAATCCCAATATTCCATCAACCAGTCTTCGCGCAAATGCCGCAGTTGAATGACGTTACGTCTGCCCCGTTCGGTATTCACCATGAAGGTAATTGATCCTATTTGTATATAGCTGAATAGATAACTGATTTAATACCTGAATTAGTAAGTTTGTATTAAAAAATTATAATCCGCAATTGCAGGTGACACAGATGTTATTCCTTTTTGGGAAAGAATTTCGCATTATTCCTACATTGATTGGAGTTATCAGAGCGAACAAGAATCATGTACTGATGGTTCGGTCTCTGGATCGGCTTCAATACAAGGTCTGTGGCAACTGGGTGACATGTTATTTGTCAATCAAGAATTTGTAACAAAAAAAGATGTCCAAATGACACTTAAGCATAACCTCATTAGGGAGCATCAAGAAGCCATTGTAATTGAGAGCACGCCTGCAAAGTTGTCCATGAAATGTTGTGCGTATGATCAAGGTTGTCCGTGGCGCGTAAGGGCGATCAAACCGGTGTCTCGTGAAAATTGAAAGATTACGAGATGGGGTGGAAAACACGAATGTGTGAATGAGCACATTTCCCAGGGTCATAGACAGCTCGATGCGGACGTTATTGCAGATCTCGTCATAGGTACGTATTTATTTACCGTATTGACATGTCAATGTTTACGTACTGTCGTGCAATTAAATTCGTTCGATGTTATCGAGGCACTGATATCCTCTTCAATGCAGGGATGATAAAGTCAGAACCATCTGTGTCAATCTCTTTGGTGTAAGAAAGGATAACTGCTAAATATGGCTTTCAAGTTTCCTACAGAAAGGCGTGGTATGCAAAGCAGAAAGCGATGGCAATTATGTTCGGTGATTGGGAGGAATCGTATGTTTTTTTGCCAAGGTGGTGCGAATACATGCTTCGCTTTTCTCCAGGTTCATTTTATCATATACAAACAAATGATCTTTATGCGGAGCATAGCTTAGTTTCTGGAAAAAAAGGTTTTTCATCGCATTTTTTGGACGTTTAGACAGTGTTGTGAGGCGTTCAAATTTGTCAAACCCGTCATACAAATTGATGGAACACATTTATATGGGAAGTACAAAGGGAAATTGTTGGTGGCCACAGCCCAAGATGGTAATAATGAATGTTTACCGATTGCTTTTGCCATCGTAGAAGGCGAAACTTTGGAAGCATGAGATTATTTTCTCGTTAATATTCGTGCTCATGTTACTACCATGTCAAACATATGTTTGATATCCGATCGGCATCGAAGCATAATATCTGCTGTGGAAAATAACCCTAATTGGCAGCCGCCAAATGCATATCACGTCTTCTGTATTCGTCATATTGCAAGCAATTTCAATCAAAAGTTTCGGAATAAAGATTTGAAGCGGATGTTAAAAAATTTAGGTATACTCATTGACACGATGCGTAATTATTTCTTTCCATAATGACTGTGAATTTATGTTTAATTCGTTCATGTCCAATTTGTGCAGGTTATACTCTAGCAATGGTTGATTTTGAAAGGAATCTTGCGAGTTTCCGTGAAAGTAGTCCTCAAATTGCTGAGTGGATTGATGCGATTCCTAAGGAAAAGTGGCAGCGCGCCTACGATATTGAAGGACGAAGGTACAATCATATGACAACAAATTTGGTTGAATCTGTCAATAGGGTTTTGAAGGGGCCCAGAAATATGCCTATAACAGCATTGGTTAAGCATACATATAGTAGATTGGTTGCATATTTTGTTGAGAGAGGAACAAATGCTGTTGCACAACTTCAATCAGCTCATCGTCACTCCAAAGTTGTTGTTGAATTGGTCAAGAAGAACCAGGTAGATGCAACAGGCCACCACGTTCGTGCATACAATGTTGAACATACTGTCTTCGAGGTTGACGCAGGTTGGGAGCGTTCATATTCTGTCAACCTCCCACAGAGATTCTGTCAGTGTGGAAAGTTCAAGGCATTTAAGTATCTATGTAGTCACGTCGTTGCTGCTGCGTTAAGTGTTAGGCAGAGTGCGTTCACTTACGTTGACGACGTCTTTTTGATAACTAACTTGGTCGAGGCTTATTCTTTTCTGTGGGAGCCAATCGGAAATGAGGAAACAATACTTGAAATTAGTGGCCCAAAGATTATTCCTGATTCTACTATGTTGCGTGCAAAAGGTCGTCCAAAGTCAACTCGCATCCGCAACGAGATGGATGAAGTTGAGACAAGCCAGAGCCGTATCAGGTGTGGACTTTGCAAGGAACACGACCATAATCGTCGGCGATGTCCAAGTCGTGGGAGAAACGACTGAGATACATATTATGTCATTATTTTGCTGTTGGTTATGTTATTGTATGAATTGTAATGTCCGTTATGGCGGACTTTTTACGTTCTGTTGATGTATGTTTTTATTCTTGTATTATTAAGTAACTGATGCTATTAGTTACCGTAACATAAATGCGCGAAGAACGACAAACAAAACATAAATAATAAAGCATAGTGAATAGTCCAAATAATATAATAATGTAGCATCCACAAAATAACAACATGCTACAATCATAACTAATACAAAATAATAAAATAATAACAATATGAAACAGTTCACAACATAGTGAATACTCCAAATGGCAATGAAACTACGACCACGGCGGCCATGGCCTATGTCGTGCATCCCTATCTGGCAGTATCCGTCTGTCCCAGACTGGGTCTCCCTGATGCACTTGTGCCTGTGGTGGTGGAGTGTGGAAGTCATCCACCGTCGCACAAATTAAATCATCTGATGGTCCTGCACTACTGCCTGGCACATCAAAAGGGGTGTGTCCCTGACTGTGAGAATATGTGGCTAGAGTCTCCCCACTGTCATGGCTCTCTGTAACCAGGCCTACAGAGCGATACCACTCAATCGTGTCCTCTGCAGACCAAAAGTGGTAATCGACATCAAGTCCCTGTGAATATGGCTGGAAATCAGGCTGCGAGGATGCCAGATCCGCTCCTGCCATAGCCATCAGACTCGCTTGGAAAACTGGCTCCTGTCCACTCATGTAAGGATGCTCAGGGACCTGCCGCATACTGCGATCCGTGATGATAAATCGGTTGTGACCCGTAAGTAGGACCAATGACTGGAGGTCTGAATCATCCCTGAGTCTCGACCACTGGTCTCGGTGCTATAATCGGGACAGGCTCAGCAGCAACTCTCTCACGTCTACGTCCTAATCCGCGTCCCTCCCGTCTATTACGAGGAACATCCACAATCAACTGAGGATCAGGCTGTGTCTGCACGGTGGGTGCCTAAGGTCCAGGCTCATCAACTCGTGAACTCTCGCGAAACATTCCAATAATCCGGCCAATCTCCTCGTGGATATACTCTAGGCCAAATCGAGGAAACTCCTCCACCGTTGTTGCATGATAAAGCATTTCAAGACCGTCAATCTGCATATTACGAAAACATGTTAGAAATGTGAAACAAATGTAAAATATGTACAAAACTCACTATGCGGCCTATCTTTGCTGCCCTCCGAGATATGTAACGCTTTCCCCTCTCTGAACCACTCCATGTACGCATGATTAGGTGACATCAAACCATATAATGGAGGTGGCAGTACAATATGCTGAATCCTGGTATTCCATCGATCAATGTGATCCTTCAGCTTACGTCTCCAGTTCTCTTCAACCTTCCCCCGTAGAGTATGATCATGTATTCCTCTCAACTTTCTAGATTTATCCGGGATGGGTTGATCAAGATCGAACTGTCGCATGCACCTATCCGGTTGACATGCCTCTACTGTGTGGAAGTAGATAATAGGTGTGACAGCAAGCCACAAGTACTGCTGCTCTAGAGTCACGTCAAGCCACTCATAATCGATATATAGCTGCCAAACCACCTAAAAAAAAAGCGAAACAATATATAGAGTTACAAAAAAAAATAAACCCATAGAGAAATAACAACATCGTAAGTATCCAACACCTAACCTCATCTCTACAGAGTGTGTCCAATGTTGCCCGATAATGGGTGACCTCATGAGGTTTAAACTTTTCTATAGTATTAAACCTGTCAATCAGAAACATTCATTATCAATCATAATAAAAAAGTATACAGTTAGTATATACATTATCAACCATACATTATCGAAATCAAATGAAGTAAATAAATCATACCGGCATCCATAATGTGTGCCCGACTCTGGATGAGGAGGAAGGGTGGAGCAATGGGTGGGAATCGTATCCACGCCCAAATTTGAAGGAGAATATGACAACCATCCATGTCAGTTCGACGGGCATCTGTCAATTCACACAAATTCCTGAACAAGTGTGTCAAAACCGCAGATCCCCAGCTGAATCGGCCAATGTCCTCAAATCCTCCACCTAGCAACGGGACAAGCCGGCAACCAAAATTGCTACCTCCAGACTTGTCCGCCAGCAACCAAGTCCCCAACATCCGGGCAATGTGGGCTTTTGTGAAGTAGATCTCGGCAGCGTGATTCCCCTCATGATCAGTCCATCGGGTATAATGCCGATCCAAGAATGAGATGCGGAGGTCGCCGGAATGATGGAACTCACCGGCCTCTGGAACATGTCCAAAAATAGCAGCACAAGCAGCGTGCCAATCCTCAGAGGTCGATCCGGTGACGACAATGCCGTCAGTCGGCAAGCCCAATATGCCTGCCACATCTTGTAAGGTGATCGTCATCTCACCTTGGGTCATGTGAAAGGTATGTGTCTCTGGTCTCCACCTCTCGACCAGAGCACTAATTAAAAATGTATCGATCTGTGATAAATTGCGCAGTTATCACGTGTTAACGAATTTTATTGAATAATTACATAAATACAAAACGACGTAAATAACATACCTGGATATGTTGCATCTTGGCAACATGTATGAATCCCGCCTGTCTTAGGTACTCTTCGACAACCTGTGGAATAGCACCGGTAGGTGGCCCCCCTTGTGGCTTCCCACGCCCGGTCTTAATTTTTCGTACATGTTCTGTATTCCACACTCGTTGTGAAATATGAGCTTTTTGCGTCCTCTTTCGAAGGACCTCCCACCTGTACGGCCCAGGTATGATCCACATGCTGGGATCAGTGGGCTCTACATCCGACTCAGATCCCGATGAAGATGATGACTCAGCCATTATCCTCAACTATATAATATAAAACAACATTTAAATTAATCACATGTAACAACCCATTTTATTTACAATTTAATTAAGCAATGTCATAATTAATTATCACAAAAATTAAGCATATGCGTCATTTATTTAACTAGAATCGAAATTTATGAAGTCCCGCCAAAACGTACAACAGTTATTTATTTCCAATTAAATAATAATAATACATCGGACAAAAATAATATAATACTAACTGAATACTTAACCCTAGGTCACTACCAATTTGTCCAATACGTACTAATCATCACACCTAACTAACTACAAAGTTACCGCATTAATAACATCATACATACGAAATTTACGAAGTCCCAAACACTATTTATAAATCACTAATTAATATGCTAAACCCTAATGCATGATTAAAAATTAATAATAATAACTACGTAATAATAAAATTACTATATCATTACAACATTCATAGCATGCCACAAAATTTCTAAGTGACTATCCTAATGTTCCAAGTCTCTAATATACAATCAATCCTAACATGTATTACTAACTAGCACTGTTATTTAAATGTATACATATGAGGTATTATGACCTTACCTACGTTGGCAGAGCTTTGCTACGAACCGCGGTTAGAGAGAGGTTAGATAGGTAAATGAGTAAGGAGTGAAAAAAGGAAAGTGGGGTATATATAGGTTGCACATGAAACGCCCCCTTTGGGCGTCACATGTTACGCCCCAATGGGGCGTCTTCTCCAGGGGAGAGACGCCTCACTGGGGCGTCACATGTGACGCCCAAAGGTGGCGTCTCATTGTGCAACAGATGTGTAATTTTTTACAAAACAGCATTAAATGCGTAATTATTTAATTTAAATGCATTATTTTAATTTTTTTGCCCTTGGTAGACAGATTTATATTTATATTTATGCACATAATAACTAATTTTAATATTGAAATAAAAAGAAGTATTTGACAGTATTTTGTAATTAGTTATTAATCATGTTAGACAGTCAATTAGAACCTTCTCAATGTTTTAATGGGCTTTTTCACCCTTTTGCCCCTTATTAATTAATTAATAACCATTTTGTCCCTGATTCGAAATTATCTACCAATCTGCCCCTCTTTAATCGACTACCTTGCATTTTTAATCGACTAAACGGTTGTTGGGAGATCTAATCGACTAAATCTCTCTACTTAATCGATTAAAATCATACTGACTTATTTTTTTGTTGTTGTAAAATATGAAGATTTAGTCGACTAAATAGGGAGATTTAGTCGACTAAATCTCCCAGCAGCCATTTTTTGTCTGTTTTGGCCATTTAGTCGATTAAAAATGCAAAGTAGTCGACTAAAGAGGGGCAGATTGATAAATAGTTTCGAATCAGGGGCAAAATGGTTATTAATTAATTAATAAGAAGTAAAAGGGTGAAAAAGCCTGTTTTAATGCTTGTATCCTTAAATCATATTATTATTATTATTGTTGTATTGAAATGTCTTAGAAAGTTAGAATCATGTACTTGTTAGACTATCTTAAAGTTTAAATATATTATTTATATGAAAGTCTAAATCCATTAGCCTATTCAAAAATAAGTTTATTTGTTTATTTAAAAGTATTATTATTAAATAAATTTTATACCAATTTTTTTTAGTACACTATACCAAATTATTTCAAAAGGTCTAAAGAAACCTTAAAAAAGTCTATATGAAATGAATAGACTAAACTCAGACCCTAGTTTTAGAAAAACAAATGAAGCCCGTTTAAGAAAAGGCCCACTCATTACTCAACCAATTTTTATCCCTAGTTATACGTGAATTAAGATCTGTTTGGCTTGTTACATGGTATTCTTTGTTTACAATAAAGTCACAAATTTGTGTTTGCACAAACAGGTGTGTTTGGTTTTAGTGGAACAGGAAATATGAAAGAGCCAAACAGTCCCTTATTTGCATTGGACATGTGAGTGGATGAAAAGAAGGCATGTCCAAGCATTACACATTGCACAGCTTAGTGAGTCTCTCTCTCTCTCTCTCTCTCTCTCTCTCTCTCTCTCTCTCTGTCTGTAGTTTTGTTCTGTTCTGATTCACTCTCTCTACAAGACGATCGTTTTCCTTAGGGTTTTTGATGCTATCTATTTCTCTCTCTAATTTGCTATATTCTCTCTCATCGTCGCACAGCGTTGCTCAAGGTATGTTCTTCGCCATGATCTTTACTCTATTTCTCCTATATGATCATTTGGGTATTTTTGGTCTCCCCCTTTTTTTTCAGTTTATTTTTTCATGCGGTGAATAAAATTCAATTGTTTTTACTGGGAATCTGCAATTTTAGGGTTTATTGATCGAATGGGTTATTGAATTTCAATTTTCTTCCCGTATAACCTTTTGTGTGTGTGTGTGTGTGTGTTGTTGTTGTTGTTATCTGCTTGATTACTGCACGGTAATTACAGGCTTAGTCTTTCCTTTTCCTCTACTAATCAGGTGTTAGTACTAATGGAGTTTGAAATGGCTTAACTTGGAACCCACTTTTTTGAGTAATTCATCAAGGTTTAAAAGCTTCATGGCTCGGAAGGGTAGTCAACAGAAGAATGGAGTGGACCGTCATGGATTGAATCACAAAAAAGGGGATTCCGAGGGTGTACTTCCGGGTATGAAAGGTCATGCTAAAGGAGGGCCGGAAAAGGTAAAGGTTTATCCGGGAGAGGAACTCGCAAATGGCAACCGGCCAAACGGTCTTTCGCAGAATGCATGTGAAACTACTTCTGCTGGTAATGACAATAACAATGAGCAAAAGTCTGAGAAGTTTTCTAGGAAAGAGAAGCAAGGGATGGTTGGAAAGCATGACTTGGAGGAATCATTGTCCTTTGGGAGTAATTCAGGGGATGGCAGTCTGAAATCCGAAGTTCCAATACAAGAAGAAAATGGGACTTTACCGGGAAGTAATCAAGGTCAACAGAGTATAAAGAGTAGATTGAGCTGTTTACTGGATGATTTGCACCTGCAAAATGTGATAGAAAAAGTAGAGCTTGCTGATAATATGATTATTTGGAGATTAAGGTTGTCAGTACTTTCCATCTTTGCAGCAGTTACTGAGTGGCTAACAAGGCAGAAGCCATTGTTAGAATCTCTTTGGACCATAATTTTTAAAGCTTGTTATAATCTCAGAACGAAAATTGAGCTGGCATATCCGGTTGTTCTGAAGTGGCTCATGCATTTTGGGAACATAATGCTCCTAATATCAGTGTTTTGGTTGGACTGTGCCCTTCGGGGTGTCGATTCGTTTGTACGGATGGGTACAACAGCCTTCTTCTCTGTTATATGGTGCAGCATATTCTCAGTCATTACTATGATAGGGATGCTCAAGTTTTTTGTTATCCTGGTATGCCCTGGTCGCAATTGTTCTTGCTTCTTATTACTTGAGAGCTAAATCTGATGAGCAAATCTTGATAATTGAAGTTTTTATAATTATTGTGTTAATTCAATTTTTTCTTGTTAGTTCTTTCTAAGATACACATATATTTATTCATATTCCCCCCTTATCTAATGTGTATGCAACATTTGTGTTCTAGTATATTTTGTTGATTAATCACCTGCATTTACATTTACTTACCTAGAAAAAAAAGCTCTATAAAAAATGTTCATTGAACAGTATGATTTAAAACCTATCCCTGTTGACCTACTTTTTATTGCTTTATAATTTCATTTCGGTGGTTTTTTATTTTACTATCACAAGATTGTACATATTGGATGCAATTTCCAACTTCCTGGCACACACTTGTTCTGTTTGATGAAATTTTAGGTTAAGATATGTCAGTGATAATCCAGTGAGAGGAAAAAAAGCTACATGGTAAATCTTTGTCCAATTAACAAACGTTCATGTGGGCTGGGAATGTGCATAACTAATTATAAAACCCTTTATACAAAATGTTTCAGTTTATACATACGTTGAATCACCTTGGGCTTCAGTTCTCCTAGAACTATTTGACTTTCGAGCCCCTTATATAACAGTGCTAAATTTAGCAAGCATGAAAGTCTTAGTTCTGGATACACTTCCTCACTTAATCCTCTGTTATTTTTTGGCTGCTTTGTGTATCTGTTCATTCTATTCTGTTCTTAAATTTGGTCTTGTAATTTTCCCCCTTCCTATGCTAACTAGTTTTTGTAATTGATCAGGGCCTGGCTGCCTTGATTGGATTTTTTGTTGGTCTCACACTTGCAATTCTGGTAATTGCAATCCTTGGAATTATTTCCTTGTGGTTTTATGGTAGCTTTTGGACAACGGCATTTTTCATGATCCTTGGAGGTGATTTGTTGCCTTTCTGTGCTGCTTTGAATTTCTGTCTGCTTTTTTGTGTATCATTTCTATGGGTAGTGGAATATAAGTGTTAATTGTGCATAGATATGTATACAAAGTATAGATATGTGTTTTCACCAAAAAAAAAGAAAAAAGTATAGATATGTGCTGTTTGATGTATTTTCTTGCCAAACTTACTAATCCTTTGGCTTTATTTGAAATCAGGATTGGCATTTATGTTAAGCCATGAACGTGTAGCATTACTTATCACCACTGTATATTCTGTCTATTGTGCTTGGCTGTACGTTGGGTGGCTTGGATTGCTATTGGCTTTTAATCTAGCTTTTATCTCAAGTGATGTTCTGATATACTTCCTCAAGAAAAACATAGATCAACAGAATAGGTCCAATCCTTTTGAGCCAAGAGCTGGAATGCATGGTCAACCAGGTTTCTTTAATGATGATCCGGTGCAGCCTTCTTCCTCTGAAAATGGGACGGGACCATCTGGAGATCGTAATGCTGGAGTCCCTTCAACTAGTGGAGATGATTCTGATGTAACTTCTGAGGATGAAGTTGTCCGTTTGTTGAACTGCTCTGATCACTATTCAGCATTGGGCTTGACGCGGTATCAAAATATAGATGTTTCAGTACTAAAGCGGGAATATAGGAAGAAGGTCATTGTCATTCTCTGATGTCAATACTTGCATAGCCATGCTTTATTTTTTACTTTTGGGAGTCTTTCTTAGATTTCATACTTTTGGGAGTTATGGTTTAGTCATTAGAGGTTGGATAATGAGTTCCTTGTAGGATGAAAGTTGAATTTTATTCTATAACTTTACAACACACCTTATTGCAGCTTGTTATTTTCCTTGATAATTCTCCTCATTTCTAATAACCTGTTTACATTGATTATCAGGCAATGTTGGTACATCCTGATAAAAATATGGGTAATGAAAAGGCTGTAGAAGCCTTTAAGAAACTTCAAAATGCATATGAGGTAAGTTTTATATGTTTTTGCTCACCCTGAGAATCAAAAGAGAAAATCCTTTCCTAAGATATACTGTATTGTTATAATGATTCCCAGATTCTAATGGATTCCTTGAAACGAAAAGCATATGATGATGAGCTAAGGAGAGAAGAGCTTTTGAGTGTATTTCACAGATTTCATAATGCTTCCCATAAGGTATGATTTATGCATTTTTTCCAGCTGTTTTAGTATTGTGGGAACTGCACATAAATATCCTATTTTATCGCTTTTGACACATTGTGGTGAGGAATAATGTTCATGAAGAGTACTGGGAATGAGAATAAAAACCGTGAAAAGATAGGAGACCCAGAAAGGATGAGTATCCATTGTTCATGAACTATATTAGATTAGTGAAGCATTTCTACTCTAGTCATGAATATAACATATATCTGTCCCATTTTTAGAAATTTGAGATCACAGGTGGTGGCACAGCTTAAGTTAGAGTCTAGAATCCAGAAAAAACAAAATTGTAATGAATCCTGTTTTAATGGTGATTTTGAATGGTATGTACATAATTGCTTTAGAGTTTTACATCTGATGTGTACCCATACACGTAATTTTTATCTGGATTCTGGAAGGGGCCGTCTGCTGTCTCTTTTTTCTTTAGACATTCCTGTGCTCTCTAAACTATTCAGACCATTTAGAGAACCTTTTAATCTATTTTCTGATTTAATGTATTATTATCTTGTCTAACTTTAGCGGTGGATGCAAATGATTTGCCAGAATGGTAGGCATGGATTCTTTCCTTCAGGATTTGCACGGTCAGATGCAGACGGTGAGGACCCATTTGGTGATTCAAGGCGAATAGCCTGCAAAAGGTGTGGTGGCTTTCATGTCTGGATACACACCAAGAAACAGAAGTCTCGGGCAAGATGGTGCCAGGTTTCTCTTTCATCCTTTTAATCCCAATGAAGCCTAGGTAGCGTGCTTAATTGACAGTTGGCTAAGCATATTACATCTTTACAAGATATTTGCCAGTATTCTGTCACAGTCAGCATGCTTTCCCTTGTACCTGGCATGGTGCTAATGCTTTACAGTGGGGTTTTTCCTTTTGAAGGATTGCCAAGATTTTCATCAAGCCAAGGATGGTGATGGATGGGTTGAACAATCTTCCCAACCATTTCTTTTTGGCTTACTGCAGAAGGTATGTATCAATGTACCATGTTGAAAAGTGTTCTTATTCTCAAACACCGTATAAGCTGTAGTTCAAGTTTACATTTTTGAGCCAATTCCTGGATGCATGAGATAAGAAGTCGGAATATGATTTTGCTTAATAATTTGGCTTGTTTTATCTTTAGGTTGACTCTCCTTCTGCATACGTGTGTGCTGATAGCAGGATATATAATGCCACGGAATGGTATATCTGTCAGGTAATTTAGTTCTTTATTGTCTTGACGGGAATCTGTGTGTGAATGTTTTGACATGCTTGTTGAAAGAATTTGGTTCAGCTCACATAAGATACCAACAGTGTCTGTTTGAAAAAAAAAAAAACTTTTATGATTTTGTAAATATTGCAGCATAGTGTCATTCTGATTGTGTATTAACTGAAATTTGTACCAAAGTTTTTATTTTAAGTGCCTTAGGGGATTTATGTGATTCGCTTGTCGCGCTTTGATTATTAGACCGCCAGCTTTGCAGTATGATGTGTTAATGGGTTGAGGTCTATTTTCTTCAGCAATGCCATGTGAATAGTTATATGTGCTAGAGATGTGTCATCTCTTTTTGGTGGGTTGCCTCATTGTTCACACTGCATAGCTTGCACTTTGAGAATTGAGACATGTTGAGATTAAAAATGCGTAAGGCATTGACAATGAACACTTCTATTGCAGGGTATGAGATGTCCCGCGAATACCCACAAGCCAAGTTTTCATGTAAACACCAGTTTAATGTCCAAGCATAATTCTGGCAAAGGACCTAGTTCAGGTCAAAGAGGTGGGCGACCAACACCTAATATGGATGAAAACATGAATGAGGTAGAATTCTTTGAGTGGTTACAGAATGCAGTACACACAGGCGCGTTTGACAATTTTAGTAGCAGCACTGCAACAGACAACCCATCTGCTAAATCTGGAAATGGAACAAAAAACCCTGGCAGTGGTAGTGGTAGTGGCAGCAAAAGAAAGAAAAAGGGAAAAAAGCAATGGTGATAACCAGATCATGTTTTACCATTATGGCCATATTGCCTTGGAAAGCATGTAAGTTTCAGAGTAGCTATCTGTTAATGAAGCCCCAAAATAGAGTTGGAGTCCATTGTAAAGCGTTTTTATTTCTTCAAAAGTGTATTTTTTGTTGTCCAATGATTTTTTTGGTATCCCTTTAGCAAAGTACAGGCTTGTGGCAATGATCCTTCTGCACATGATTTTCCTTGTCTAGGTGCAACTCATGCATGAATCATGATGTGGGACAAAGGAATGTTTTATCTAATGGTATACCAGAGGCAACAAAATGTACCGAGCTGCAATTTCCAGCAGAAATAGGCCATACTAGTACTTCAGGCGGCAAAGATGCCACCTAACATTAGCCATATTTTGGTTCAATTCATAATTTTGTGACTCTATAGTGGTTAATTGAAATAATTAGTTAATTCAAATTATAAACATATTGAAATAAAAGATGATTGTGGTTAGCTTGGTATTGAATTTAGCTATATATCTGCTAGAAATGGTCAACTTTGCTCACAAAATAACACAAATGAGAGGAAATGTTATTGTCTTTCTAGAACTAACTATATCGCTAGTATGTATACTTTTTGTGTCTTGTACTGTTATTATAAATTTAGTTAAAATTTAAAATATAATTGTTTAAAAAATTATTAATTATTATGTGATATACATAATTAGTTTAAAGGAACTTAAATTTCTAATCATTCAAAAATTGAAATAAGAGTAAACTAATTAATTGAATTATTTAAAAATATATACTTTAATTTAATATATGAAAATAAATTACTGTCACCTGAAGTGCAAGTGACTTCTAAATGCTACCATTTTTGATAAAAAAAAAATGCAGCTTTTTGATTAATATAGTTAGTATGCATATCTAGGATTTGGAATGACTTTATAACTTGTAAATTCACATTTGTGTCGTACCACTAAATTTATAAATGCTAAAAAATGTTTTCCTGAAAGAAAAATTGGAGCATGAAATGGATGTTATAAAATAAGGGATTTATTTTTCTGCTTTACTGAAGAGGAAATTTTTTCGTGCAGACACATGTTTTAGGTGGGCTCACAGTTAAGAAAAATAAAATAAAAATTGACACATAAATAAATGTCAGAAGAAATATTTTCTCTAGCAAAATGAGAAAATATTTTCATAAAAAAATAATAAGTAAATTATTAGGGGGCATTTGATAGAGGAGAATTTTTTTTTATTCGGAAATCACCATTTTCAAGAATATGATGGAAAAAATGAGTTTTCCGGAAATATTATCAAAAAATTATTTGATTGGCCAAAATATTCCTGGAAATGTTGAGTTAATTTTTTTGATGCTATATTTGATTGTGTTATATTTTCCCTTGTCATGGGAATCCTAGAATACCGCCCCTTTGGTGGTATTTTTGGATAGTATTTTAAAAAAAAATTATACACAAAATAAAATCGCAAAATAATTAAATTTTTGGAAATTTTTTAGAAATCTTATATCAAACATAGGTAAATAAGATTACCATCTCGATTTTTCGAGAATCCTAAAAAATATCTCCTAGAATAAAATGTGAGTTCAAGGATTTTTGTTAAGAGATAGCATAACACTTGTGCTTTCATCATCATGCACATAGTTCAAATTGGACTGAATTTATGAAGATATCTCATTGTTTTACATAAAAAAAGAAGAAAAATGGATTAGTAGTAAATGAAATAACTTCAATTGTTTGTTTCTTTTCTTAAAAAAAAAACATTTTAAGTTTAAAACCTGTCTAAAAATTGTAATGTTATTAGATAAGATTTTTTTAAAGAAAAGCATTAAAAGTAATTTTGAACATTTCATCATAAGGTAAAAAAGTATATATATATATATATATATATATATATATATATATATATATATATATATATAGTCTACTCTAAAAATGTTTTCTTTTCAAAACTCATAATTAGATGACTATTGATGGGTTTTATTTTAACCGATCAGCTTATAATTTTGTTAAAAAAATTATTTCTTAAATATTTCCCGAATGTTCTTATGAATTTTTAGGTTGGTTATTTTTATGATGTTATTAATACTTGAGAGTGTAATCCAGTTTTATTAATACTACTTATTTATTTATTTTGTTTTTCAATGTATTCTTATTATATCTTTTGAATGTGAGTGAATTATATTGAAACATTGAACAATGGAGTTAGATTCTCTATACAAGTAACATTTTAAAAACTAAAACCTTTAGTTTGCTTGTTACATTCCTTGCTATTGATATTATTTTTTTTAAAGCCAATAATAAAAAAATAGAAATGATAATTAAATTATGTTTTATAGTGTTGTAAGAAATTAAATCCATAAAATAACTATACATAAGCTTCAGGGTTTGGTCACTCTCTCTAATGGAGGCACTGCTTCAGGGTTCATCTCTTGCTCCTTATCTCCTACCCAAGCTTCCAAAAACAACGATGATAATAGGCAACTACGTTAGATTCAATCTTAATCATAACCCATGCTTCATATTCGCAAATGGGTACCCTTCTTCTTCTTCACGGTCATTTTCTGTTCTGAATAAGCCCAGAAAATCAATATCAGTGATTGTTAATGCCCGCAAGAAAGACAAGAAAGAAGATAGCCACAGCTTTGTACCCAAACCAGAGGAGGTTACGGGCTTCTTCCCCGAAGCTGTGCTCCTTAAAAAGGTGATTTTTTTTTTTACACATACCCTTTATTTGCTTTTCTTGTTCTTCTCAGTTTAGTGCAAGTTTTTATGGGTTTAGTTTTGAGAACGAGATACCCTTTTGAAGATTCGTTCAGTTTAGACTTATATATTAGTTGGAATTTCACTGCTACTGGTACTACTAAGGTTTTTTGAACCCATTTTCTTTTCTGTTGAAAAACCTTATCTTAATCTGTTTTGTTTAGAAGGGAAAATTCCTCACAATCAAAGGATAATTTTGCACATTTTGATAGTATATGACTTAGTTTTAGACAGCAGACAAGGAAGGAGGCATATGGCACTAGTTATTGCATCCTTTGTGCCTGCCTTGTTTGAAGAATTTAGTTTTGAGTTAACTATGTTATTATTCTTTATGAGATGAGTTTTCTCATTGATATTGAATTGGGGTTTTTAACTTCAATTTTCAGAAGACAGTTGAGGAAGATGGTAAGCTTCTCCCGGAGTTTGAAGATGCTGAAGAAAGTGAGTGGTTATAGTTCAGTTATTCAATCTTTCCTAGTTGGTTGCATCTGTCTTGGTAGGCTAAATGGTTTGGATTATTGCGCTGAGATTATTGCTTTTTTCCAAATTTCCATTTTGATTTACAGGAGAACTCTATGAATCGCTGATGCTTGACCTGGAAAGTGATATGGACGTCGAACTAAGTAAGTTGATTCTTTCTCGTTTCTGTTAGAGAAGAAATGTAACAATGCACTAATGTAATTGCATAATCTAGGAATTTTGTATCGTCTCTTTTGTTATTACTTTCATGCTCTTTGTAATTTTGTTTGTTTGCAAGCTGTCAACTCTTGTATAGTTGTTCAAATAGCAATGATGTATGAGCCATTCCCTTCAATTTCGAGGATTTGGTCTTTACATGGTATCCGGAGCTCATAATCTTTAACCAACAATATGATCCATAACTCTTTCTCCCCCTCCCCTGCCCCTTCTCTTCTTCTCTCTTTTTTCAATGATATTTGCTGATTTCCCCACCAAAACCTCCAACCCCCTTCCTTCCCATGACACCAAGGACCTCGTCCAATTTAACACTTCCATCCATTCTCCATCAAACTCACGGGTGCCAACTGTCCTACCTGGCACAAACAATGGCATTCTCTTCTAGTCAGCCGAGACCTTGTTGGATGTACCAAACCATGCCCACCCCAAACTATCAAGGCCAATGATGTAGATGTTCTTAACATTGCACACAACTTCTGGGTTTCAGGATCAACTCCTATATCTTACCCTTCTGAGCTCGTAACTGGCCAATGCACTTTCCATTTATGTCATCTGCGGACACCTCTGCTGAGGCTTGGAATAGCCTCAGTAAAGCTTATGCTAGTCATTCCCGCTCAAGGATTATGTCTCTCAAGGAACACTTAGCGTCCATTAAGAAAAGAATGTCCACAGTCACGGACTACCATAGCTCTATAAAGAGCATCTCCAATGACTGGCACCCATTTGTCCTTCCTTTTACAATCTGGATCTTGTTATCTATACAGTAGGCGGCTTATGTTCCAGCTTTTGCAAATTTGTGGCCTCAACGTCATTGTCCTCACTTTAACACTCGTCGTGAGACACCAATGTCATTTGCCCATGATATGTCCACCATCTTGGTTTTTTTTTTTTTGATTTGTGTTGCCGCGCGCGGGGGGGGGGGGGGGGGGGGGGGTATGTTAGAGAAGATACGTAACTATTGCACTAATGCAATTGCATAATCATAGTAATTTTGTAGCGACTCTTTTTTTAATTATTTTAATCCTTTTTGTAACTCTCTTATTTGTTTGCAAGCCGTTAACTCTTTTATGTGTATGGTTTTTCATATAGAAATAATGTGATCAACCATTCCGTTCAAAGATTTGGTCTTTACACATTCTACTAGCTAGAAGAATTTGTAGTCCTTTCTTTGCTGAAAGTTAAAATGGATATTTTTATTTTTTTAAATAATGTTGTAATATTCAATTTCCTTTTATATATATGTATGTGTCTTAACCCTAAAGATTTTAAGATGTAATATGGCTTCTTATCGTAGCTACCTATCTTCTGCCAGTATGTAGGAATAGAAAATAGCCGTGAGCCAATATTTGTCTATATCTCTTGGAGCAAGTTAAGTGCTCTATCTCTCATACTCTGCTTCTTTACTTATGCAGTGCGCCACTACGAGGTTGTTTACTTAATTCATGAGAAGCATGAAGAAGAGGTTGCAGCTGTCAATCAGAAAGTTCAAGGTAATCTTTCACAGTTCACTCACATCTTCTTTTTTAACTGTTCATATTCCCCTGATGCCATATAAAATGAGTTCAGTAGTTTACCATTTCTGGGTGTCATGTCCTACTCTAGCTATCTCTAAAATGGCTATACTGGGATAGGAAGTATCAGGTGGTCTGTGACAGATGCAAAATATCTGTTGAGATATATAAAACCATTAATGTAGTCTTACCCAATAGCTTAAGTTTTTGGGTTGAATTGGTTCTTTACATGGTATCAAAGCCTCGTGTCCCGGGTTCGAACCTCACCGTCCCCCACTTTCTTTGTAGTGGAATTTCTTTCTTCGCACAGGTAGGTGGGCCTGTGCATTGTCCACCCTTTAAGCCCAGTGGGCTTTCATGTGAGAGGGCGTGTTGAGATATATAAAATCATTAATGTAGCCTTACCCAATAGCTTAAGCTTTTGGGTTGAATTGGTTCTTTACAATATCTATAATTTGGCTAGGTGTTTTCTTACAGCCCTTACCTGTGGAATTAACTCTTAGGTGTTATTGATTAACCTACCTTCGCCAAAAGTTAACAAGTTGTAGCTGGTAATAGTATTCTCTAATGCCCTATTTGGAACTTTCATGAGGGGTTTTGATTCTTTTGTCCATATTCATTCAGTAGGAAGAACATGCTATGCAAAACTTTGGCGTTCGGTACTCTTTATGTTCCACATAGAACTGGTGGTGGTAAAATGTTTGTTGTGGAAATACAAGAACAACAGTCTCAGTCTGAGAATTGGATTATGTTTTGAGAACTTCAAACAAAATCTGCTGTTTGAATTCTTTAATAATTACCTGGATAGTGGATACTGTAATTGTATGATATAGTAGTGTAAAAAGTTGCTGCAATGTATAGATTAACAAAAAAAAATATTTTTTTTATCTTCTGATGAAAATTAGCTTCTGATTGTTTTGGTTATTTGTCATAAATTTTTGGAAACACTTTGCAGACTTTTTGAGGGAGAAGAAAGGCAGGGTGTGGCGACTGAATGATTGGGGCATGAGAAAGCTAGCTTACAAAATAAAGAAAGCTAATAATGCCCACTACATTTTGATGAACTTCGAGTTGGATGCCAAATATATCAACGAGTTCAAGACTCTGTTGGACAAAGATGAAAGAGTCATTCGGCATCTCTTGATAAAGAGGGATGAGGCAATCACTGAAGATTGCCCTCCTCCTCCGGAGTTTCATACTCTGCGCGCAAATGCGGATGATTATGATGATGATGATGAAGAAGAAGAATTTGATGAAGATTATGATGATGAGTTGGATGGTGAAGATGAGATGGATGGCTATGATGATGATGGAGGGGATGAAATTATTGTTATAGATGGCGATGGCAATAATATAGATTCTAGAAATGAGACATTAACAAATGTTAGAAAGCCAGAAATAAGAAAATTGAGGGATGAGAACGTAGTTAGGTAGATAATATTGGATATGTTCTTGTTTTTTGTGTTCTTAAAACTGTTTTGTAGAATAGTTAATGGAATATGTGTTTTTTATGTTTGTTTTTTTTTGTTTTGTTTTGAAAGTTGAAAGTTAAAATATCAAACAAAATTAACTCAAGATATATTATCTAAATTTGATTGTAAAAACAAAAAAAAGTTACAATTTTTATTTTATTTTTTAAAACAGATCATATCAAATCGATTTTTTTATTTTTTTATTCTGAGAATCAAAAAATTGTTTTTCAAATAGATTTCAAACAGACCGTTATCTTTTATCACTGATTCTTTTGTTCCTTTGTTTCCATAGGAATGCAGAGCAGTTCTAAACATTATGGCTCTAATTACATCAAGATCTAAGTAACTAGGATGTCTGGTTTGCTCAAATTATTAAATTATAAAATGTTTGTATGATGAATAGCTGGGAATTTAAGCTGATACCAGCAAAGAGGGAAAATGAAAATAATACATTCGCTATGTGTAATTCGTACAAGGAATGAGCACTGGACTAAAATTGTAAATATGTTAAGGTGTAGAACCCGGATTCAAGTGATTCAGAATTGAGATGAAAACTAGAATTTTGGGGTACCAGAATTTGCAATAGTTTGGGTTAGGGTGATGTTGGACATAATTTAATTCTTTGGATGCATTTGCGTAAGAAACATTGTCTTCAAGGAAATATTGGGCATGAGGTGCACAAGAAAGCATTGAATGGTGTTGTTTAGTAATTGACCATCTCACACGAAACCCGGGTCACATGATGACATAACACACAAACTTATATTAATTAGGCCTTGATTTTGTCAAACTAAATCGTTGTCGTAAACTACCTGGTTGGGATGATTTTGTATATACGCAATATTTTTATGAGAAGTTCTTTTCTCTCTGAAAGCAACACTTTTACAACAACAGATATGAATAGTTTCACAGATTTAATATACATTTGAAGAGCTGCCATCTACTTGTTCTATGAGTAGTCATGAATGAGTATATCTCGGGCAGTTGTTCATTACCTGCAACTTAATATTCATAATGAATAGTTTTGAATATTAGAATAAATTATGGGATTTTTTTTAAATGATACAATTTTGTATCATTTTAAATGAAACGACGTTATTTTGGTGCATAATTGGTAATTTTTTATATTCTCTCTCTTATGTAAAATGACATACAGTTATATTCTTTAAAAGGACAAATATTTTTTCCATAAATTATATGAGAAAAGTTATTCTTACAATCTATTTTTGTTTACAACATCTTATAATCATATTTTAACCGTTGATTTATGTCAATCAACGGTTATCATTTCAGCCAATCAAATTTATTAATTAATTATTAATTTTCAATAAATGATAATTGTTTATTGACGAAAATCAACGGTTAAGATATGATTGTAAGAGGTTATAAACAAAAATAGGTTGTGAGAATAATCTTTCTCAAATTATATATATAGTAGAACATTTTTATCTTCCAGAGATGACAAATGTGATTTTTAAAAAATAAAAGAGACAGAATTATAATTTGAATATGTCTTAAAAGAGGAAGACTGATTCATCCTAAAATATATTGAGTCACTTACCACAAAGTTTGGTTTTTCTTTGCGTGTCAAGAGAAACAAAAATGAAAAAAGAAATATATACTGCGAAATATTGAAATGTAATTTTCTTTCCCAATCCGCTAAAACTGCCGGGTTTGATTAAATGACTCCACAAATTGATGGAGATTTCGTGCATAAATCCTCCATGAAATCTAACAAGTCTCGGTTAGGTGATGGGTCAGTGTTCCCACTCCCTTATAAACTGGCAATTATTAAAATGAAAGAAAAGATGAAGTACAATTTTCTTCCATCTATGTTGTTTGGCTGGTAAAAGTAAACAGCCACCATGCACTAAATGCATGGCATGTGTTTTTTAAAATTATTTCTTAATGTGTATATTTTCTTATTTTCAGAGAGTTTATTTAAACAGAAATTGTAATAATTTTTAAAGATAGAGCTATATTTGAATACTACACAATCTTTCAAAAGATTGTGCATCAATTATTTCCCGTCCTAATTCTATATACTCATAAAACTTTGTATCATACAAGATCATACCACCGCGAGATTAGCTGCAACCATTGATATTATCATCAGTTAGTTTAACTCATGAGTGCATCCTTTCGGTGCCTCATAACTGAAACACTCCAAATCCAACCAAAGCCTGAACCCAAAGAGAACCAACATATCTCTACCAAGTACCAAAGATAATGAAGCACTATCCAAATGAAGAGAAAGATCATTTTCTTCCACACTTCCAAGGTGCCCCCACCATTTAATGACTCAAACCTACTTCTCTTTATTAATTTGGAGATATTTTAATTGATTTATCGCGACTAGTCCGATTTGGGACGGGTATCAGAATTAAAGTTTTGAACCTCTCTCAAATATAATATTAAAAAAGATTGAACACATGCTCTAAAACCTATTTCTCTAAATCCTAGCCGCTAGTATCTTACTCCACGTAGCAAATCCCAATAATAGAAAATTTTCTTTAGTGCTATGAATGCACTGAATTTTCGGTACATCTTTCTTTCACAATATGACATGTGTTTTATTTTTTTTATCAAATCACTCTTTCACTTGATTTTAAAATAAATTATTTATTAATAATTTGACAAAAATAAGACACGTGTCATATTATGAGTAGAAGATGCACCGAAAACTTAGTATCCATTGCATACGTGTATCACTGAAGATATTCTTATTAGACTATGTTATGCATCCTCAGGCCACGTATCTAGCATACGCATGAACCAAAAAGATTGTTTATATATATAAGTGCACAATATGTGACGGGATCATAAGTGACATATATATATATATATATGCACATCATCACCCAGAAAAAGAGCCTAAAAACATGGCACCCCACATTTCTAGAGTCACTGCCTCCATTGTTGTTTTGCTAGCTTCCCTTGTTCTCCCCCAAGAATCTTACTTTTCTGTGCTCATTGCAAGTGACGCAACCCCAGAATCAGATGTTGATCTTCTGGAATTTCCTCTAAATTTAGAATATTTAGAGGCTGAGTTCTTCTTGTTTGGGTCTTTGGGTCATGGATTGGATGTAGTTGCTCCACACTTAGCAGAGGGAGGACCCCCTCCCATTGGTGCCAGATTGGCCAACCTTGACATCCTTGTTAAGGATGTTATCTTGCAGTTTGGTTTGCAGGAAGTTGGACATTTGAGGTTCTCTCTCTTCTCTCTTCAATTATAATTCTTTTAGGCAAAAAAAATTACAATATCTTATGTTATATATACGGGGAAAATATTTTTGCAGCCACTTTAGATAAAGTTGTTTGCAGTTACTATTTTTTCACTAAGTACGACCGATCGTATATTGAAATTGTATTTTCTCTCTCTGCCACGTCAGCCGACAATGTCTGAGGAAAGAGAAAAAAAGAACAGCTTTATTGTTATAACTAAGTACGACTGGTCGTACTTAGTGAAAAAGGGGTAGCTGTAGACAACCTTATCTAAAGTGGCTGTAGAAATTATTTTCCGGCTTGGCTCAGCGGTAAGCTTGCTTGCCGTGGTGTGTCAGGTCGCGGGTTCGAATCAGCCTCCCTGCAAAAAGCAGGGGAAAGACTGCCTAGAGTATTCCCTTCCCCAGACACTCACGAAGTGGGTATTTGAACTGGGTCGGCCCTTTTTATATATATATATATATATGTTGTAAGACCTTAATTTGATGGATTTTGGATTAGTTTATATGTATATGTATATGTATTTCCAAGAGAAGAGTTCTAAAGTAAAGTTGTGTTCTCGTTGCAGAGCAATAAAGAGCACAGTGAGAGGGTTCCCTAGACCATTGCTGGATCTAAGCACAGCATCATTTGCTAAAGTAATGGACAGTGCCTTTGGGCGACCTCTGCATCCTCCTTTTGATCCTTATGCCAATGAGATCAACTTTCTGCTTGCATCTTATGTTATTCCTTATGTTGGCCTTACTGGTTATGTTGGAGCCAATCCACTTCTGCAAACTGCTACTGCCAAGAAGGTACAGCCCCCAAACTCAAAAACATTTGGTGTAATGTGTATTTTAGGTACATGAAATATGATATACCCGTGTTTATAAAATATATGGTACAAGAAGTTGAGACTTGTCAAGAAATGTTACAATTAGTATTTTTTACAGAAGTTGGCTGAGACTTTTTACTAGGGAATGCCAAATTCCCTAATATACTAATTGCTAACTATAGATATCTAATTCAAGTATTTAAGATATCCAAAAAATCCCAATTGTTAGGATGAAAAGGAACATATAATTGTTATAATGTTTATTTGATCTGGTTAAAAATGGGACAGAAGAAAATAGCATGGTAAATAAACAATTTTAACATGTTTGGTGCCCCAAAAATTAAGAATTGCCAAAAATAAAATAAAATCAAAATCAAAATGGTATGCACCTTAAAACAAAGAGATGATGCATATAATGACATAGTGTGATGCTGCATGTACAGCTTGTTGCAGGTCTTCTGGGAGTAGAGTCTGGCCAAGATGCAGTTATCAGAGCATTGCTATATGAACGTCGATCCTTGAAGGTTCTGCCCTATGGAATAAGTGTGGCAGAGTTCACAGACCGCATTTCAGCCCTTAGGGATAGGCTAGGAAACACAGGTTTGAAAGATGAGGGTCTTGTGGTTCCTAGGATGCAAGGTGCTGAGGGCAGAGTCTCTGGCAACATTCTCTCTGCTGACAGAGATTCACTGTCATATCCCAGAACCCCACAAGAAATACTGAGGATAATATATGGTACAGGTGATGAACATGTCCCTGGTGGCTTCCACCCTCATGGTGCAGGTGGTCGTATAGCCAGATCTTACTTACAGAGTACCTTAAACTAAGCATAATTCTAGTCAAACTGTTATGCCTACCTCAGACAATGAATTATAATGACTAATAAAGCACTCTATGTGACGATCTGGTTTGAAAATTTCCTTATGTTGCATTCAAGATTTACTGATATAGAGTTAGGCCTAAGGACAGGAATTCAAGCAAAAGTTTTTGCAATTTCTCAAACCAAAACTGCAGAATGATACCAAATATTATATTATAATCTAGTATTCAACATCACCATATTAGCAAAATCTATTTAATATATCAACTACAAAATTCAAGAATATCATGCAATGACATGGTGTTGCCTTGTAGTAATTTTTTAATTTTTTACAACCAATGTAAATGCTTTGCACTCGCATTATAAGGGAACCTGGCCAGCGGCAAAGTGAGGATTACCTAATCCATATAATTTGAGTAAGAGCTGATTCCTATCATAACAAACTAAAGGAAATGTTAATTCAAAACATAAAAAGAAATAATATTGATTTTAAAAACTTTTTAAGTTTTACATGAAAAATTATTAATATAGTTTATTACAAATGTAATTAATAGAAAGTTATACTTAAAATATTATTTTTATTTAAAGTAGTGGATAGTTAGTAAAAAACAGGGACAATTAAATATTGAAATTTATGATCAAGTTTAATATTTACTGTTATTTTAGCAAGCTTCAAGATTGTGAAGAATAATTTACCCTATTATTATTAAATATAAGAGTATCTTAATTTTTCTACAGCACCCACACTTTTACTTATTTATTTACCAAAAAAAAAAATTAATTATGCAAACAGAAAAAAATTTAATTATCTTATTTTTTGAAATATAATTCAAATCTAGTCTAATTGTTGAATCACCTGTTGATAAATACATCATTCAAATCAATTAAAGAGAGTCGTTTAATCGACGTATCATATCGTTTTTATGCAAGCAAGAAAGGTCAGAGTGTACCCAAAACAAAAAACAAAAAAAAGTAACGTTAAAATATTTTGCTATATAATAAGGGATATGATATTATGTCTATTTTTTTTTATACATACTTTATCTACTTTCTTCAACACCATTATATTGGAATCTTGAGATAGAAATGGAAAGATAAATTTTGATCTAACGTTATTCGAGATACAAACTCACGCATATCATTATAGAAAATTTTAATTACATCCAAAAAATTTTAACTACATCCAATTTACAATTAAAAAATTAAAGCAGTTAGATATAAGTGAAATTAACGATTAAGATTAAGAATATAATTATTTTTTTGGTAAACAAAAGGGCTAGAGCCCAAAAAGAAAGAAAAAATAAAATAAAATAAAGATCCACTGTATACCAACAGCACACAAACTGCCCACAGCAGCAAGGTCAAATAAATCAGCTGAATATCAGTAGGAGGCTATTCACAAGTAACCTGTTGCACATTATCATCCTTATTAAGAATAAAATTCGTCATACCTGCACAAGCATTTCCTTCTCTGTACGTGTAATTAATTTTAACAGTCCAATCTCCATGAAGCCATGCTCCTATCCGAGAAATCGAATGACTCTCACGAGCTGCTACACCATGAGGGGTGAACATATTGATCACACTTGTGGAATCACTTTCTAAGATAAGTTGTCTGAACCCAACTCTTCAAGCCAATTCTAAGCCTCTAAGCACACCCTAGAGCTGGGCTTTGAAAGAACTACAAATTTTCAACTTGCAGGCGAAACCATTTAGCCAATTACCACGAGAATCCCGAATAACACCACCACAAGCAGCAGAACCCGAATTGCCTCTCGCAGCACCATTCGTATTCAGCTTCACAAACCCCTCCATTGGAAACTGCCAAGAAACATTTATAACCATGGATCTCTTATTTATGGCAATGTCCTTTTCTCCCAAATAAGCTTCAGACACCTCATGAACTAGCTTTCGAATCAACTCTACCTTGTGGGCAAAAGTAGGAATTACATTACCATGTATAAAACTATTACGCCAATTCCACAATTTCCAACAAGTTAAAAAAAAAGTAGTGAGACATAGACCCGCTTCTGAAGGCTCTCTCTCGACATCCATACACTTCTCAAGCCACAACTTTAAGTCCAAATTAAAGAACGAAACACATAGAAGACCAGGTAAAATCGTATGCCATAAGTTCCTGACTTCATGGCAATCCCTTAGAACATGCAAAATAGATTCATTATGCATACTACAAACCGGGCATGAATTATCCCCTCTATTCCAATAAGCAGAGATGCTTTTCGTAGGCAATCTACCATGAACAACTCTCCACATAAATATTTTAATTTTTTGAGGACCCTTCCAACACCATATTTTCTTCCATATTCTTGACTCCTCAACCCCATTACCTCTAATACCACTGATACAACCAGATAGACTTTTAACCGATACAGTACCATCTCCCAAAAGGTTCCAGAACCTATTATCAGGACCATCCATTCTGCAAGGGGCTAAAGTATTATAGAACATATCAATTGAATTCCCAATTAAATATTTTCTTAGCTCTTCATAATTCCACTCACCATAATCATTTATCCACTGAGCCACCGATTTATTTAAATCAATGTTATTCCCCCTTATATCCACAACATCCGCCAAAGCTTCTTGGGTTAATAGCCATTTGTCCTTCCAAAAGTTAATAGTTGTACCATCACCCAATTTCCAAATAAGCCGAACTTCCAATTCTTTCCAAAGTCTACACATACTTTTCCATAATCTCGAATCACCATTCCTATCTATGAAGTTGCTATTTCGACGTCTACCAGAACAATACTTGCTTGAAGCACCTTTATCCAAAGCTGATTTGAATTCTGATAAAGTTTCCAAGTGCGTTTAGCTAGGAAGGCATCATTCATCACCTCCGACCTTTTCAGACCAAAACCTCCACTATTCTTAGGCAATGTAAGGATATCCCAACTGATATCATGATACTTCCTATGGTTCTCCCTATCACCCCAAATAAACCGACGCTGAATTTTTTTCAAACTCCAAACAGATACCTCTAGGAATTTTACCATTTTGCATATGAAAATAAGCAACTGCTGCCATCACTGACTGAGCCAAAGCAATTTTGCCAGCTTGAGAAAGACATTGTTGCTGCCATATATGAAGTTTCCCTCTAACTTTCTCCACAACATTCTCATATAAATTCCTAGTAGCTCTTCCATGTTGCATCATTGAGCCCAAATATCGCCCCATGTTTTTAACTTATACTAATATAAAATGATCCTAATTCATATATATATATATATATATGATTCATTTTTTCTGCAATCAATGTAGATAAACTATCTGTATTGAGCCTAAAACGATGTCATTTTGAAGTGAAAATTAAGGTATTTTTATAATTATAATTTGTTTCAATGTTATAAAAATCTTTCTAATTATAATTTTTTTAACCCAAAATAACATCGTTTTAAGAGTGAATATAGATAACTTATCTATTATCTATATTCATTGTAAAAACATTAAAGTCATATTATATATGGATTAACTTTATTTTCTGTACCTGAAGATAATATATCTTGCAAGCTTAAAATAACGTCATTTTGGAGTTTAGGAGAAAAAAATGCAGAGTACTTTATGATATAAAAGAAAAGTGAAATTTTCAAATCCCGAAACCACGTCTAAACTTTTTTGATATATACGTACGGAAAATAGTTTGTCCTTTAAAAGGGGCACAAGTTGTGTTCTTTAAAAGGACAAAATATTTTTCTATATATGTATAGAGGTAGAATATTCACACTACCATTTTTCCCCCCACTATTATATACTACCATCCACTGTAGATATGTATTTCGAAAAGTACAAAGTCTTAATATTAAAGTTTTTTTCTCTTTTTTTTCATAAAATTTTTCAAAGAAAAAATGCTGATTCAACAGTAATAAGAGAGGTGTGGAAAAAAGGTAGTATGAATATTCTCCCTCATATGTATATGGTTTAATGTTTGTATTTTTTTGCAGAATTTTTTTTTATCATACACATATAAAAGTGAGCGAGTCACATTATATGAGTAATCCTACTAGTATTTTCTCTCTTTTCTTTAGCATGAGTCTTATTATTGTTTCTTATGTCACAAGAAAAAAATTTATTTCTAACAACTCAAAATTACGTCGTTTCGAAGGTTGAGAGAATTAATAAAAAGTAGTTTTATAAAATTTATATAATTAAGAACAAACAAAATTCCTGAAATAATCTTCATTAGTTCTCTCAATTCTCAAGTTTTGGGATTGCTGGAGATAATTTTATTTCATATGACAAGAGAAATATTTTTTTTATATATATAAAACAACGTCGTTTTGAGGGTAGGTGAATCTATAAAGGGTGTTTCAGTAATTTTTTTATTATAGAAATTTTATCAAAACACTATTCACTAATTCATATAACCCTCAAAACGACATAATTTTAAAGTTGCAGGATATGACTTTATCTCATGTTATATGAGAAATAATAAATCCATATATATATATATATATATATATTTTCTGTCATATAAAATAAAATTATTTTTAGCAATCACAAAATTACGTTGTTTTAGAAATTAAGATAATTATAGATGTATATTTTAAAAAATTTATTTATTATATAAATTTTGAAAATAACTTTATTCTAAAAGAAATAATAAACTTTCACTCTGTATATATATATAAGGAGATTAATATTAGATAAATCCCATATATAAATGAGGAAGACCAGAAGAGACTAATAAAGGGTTAAGAACTAAGAAGGGTGGTGTGAGGGAGTGTATTGACCGCACCACATCAACATACAAACGAAACAAGCCACTGGTAAGCGAATCTAACTCTTGTTTCTCCATTTTTTTCGATCTTCTTACTTCGACAAGAATTTCATGTAGAATATGTTTTTCTTCAATTGAAAAATTCCAATCCAAATGTTTATACCAAAGTATCAGAACGTTGTTGAGTTCGCAATTTTCGATGTGAATCGATTCAAGCAACGAAGTCGGTTTTCGCCGCGTTTTGGTTATTCTCGAATTAAGAGATTGCTCTATGCTCCCCATAATTCTGCGCTGAATTAAAATTGATAATTTATAGTCAACTGTTGCCGTTTTGGAGCAAAATTTATGCTTTTGAATGGGTTTCAATTCATGCATCGGTTGAAATTTCAACATTGGTGTTTTGTGTGAATTGCGAGAGTGGTCATAGCAGAATGTTGGAGTTCAATTCTCAATGTTTAGCGTTTCAACTACTAGTTTAGCTAAACTGTACACCCCTCCTCCCCCTAAACCCTAAATCGTGGTTTTGTTTAAATAGCAATTATGTTTTATTTATTTTATGGCCATTTGGATATATATGATGTTCTCTGCTTCTATCCTTTTGTTCTGTTAAATTTGCTGCAGTTTAGAAATTTTATTTGGCAATAACATATCTGTGCCAATTAAGAGTATCCAGGTGGGAATGGGTAAGCATCGAGATATGCAAAATTTGAAACTGAACAGATTGGGAAATTTGGGAGTTATTCTTGATTGTTTTTGGGAGGATTTAGGTTCCAATATTTTAATTTTAATTTGTTTCATTGTTTCTGTGTGTTATTGTGTTTGTGTCAAGTATCCTATTTGTTAATGACGCGATTTAATTAGGATGGAATTCATGACTTTGTGGTCCATCATGTTCCTGTCCGATAATTTCCCTTTCAACAGCTTTATTTATTTTATTTTATTTTATTTCTCCCAAAATCACTCAATTCTGTTTCTGTTTGCAGAAACATATCATCACAAGGCAGATATAATGGCTGTACATTCTGAGTCAGGTTCATCAGAGAAGAAATCAAGCAATGGACTGAATGAGTTGCTGACTTTTAATGCTGAGAATATGCAAAGCAACATGAAAATTGTCTATTACAGGTTTGGTTTGACTGCTGATTAATTTAATTATTAATACTGTGTTGAATATATACATATAGCTAGGAGCATTGTATTTGGGGTGGACTATCGAACTGCAGGAATGCTTTTTTTCCCTTTCTTTCTCTACCACATTATGGAACAGTATGAGACCCAAATTTGTTTGGGATAGTGATTTTAATATGGATGGAGATGTAAATATAATGCACTCCTGGAGAAAGGAGAAAATGGGGGTGGGGGGAACATGAAAAGAAGCAGCAGTTTGACATTGTATATGGTTTACAATCAAAATTTCTTTCTCTCTTTTGCAGCCGAACATTTTTGGCTATAATTGGCGGAGTTGTTGCTGGAATTTTGGGATTTACAGGCTTGAAAGGATTTGTCTTTTATTTACTTCTTATGGCAGTTACATCACTTGGACTCGCAGCCAAAGCAAGATTTTCAATCCATACATACTTTGACTCTTGGAATCGAGTGCTACTTGATGGCTTCTTGGGTGGCCTAATGGTACATTGTTTATATTCATTTCATCTTTCTTTGGCATGATTTGTGTATGAGAAACTTCTTTATTTTTCATGAAAGAAGCAATTAGTTTGGATAAGCTAGAGATGTATACAATTAGAGGATTATATATCATTCTGGAAGAAAATAAAAATTAAAAAAGTCAGGGAAAGCAACAAAAGGCACACCAACGATGTAGACATAGCCAAACTCTTTGCTGATATACAACTGAAAGCCCCCCCTCAAAACAAACCATTAGATGAACAACATGAATGGTGCAAAAAAACCTCTTTATCCCATAAAAGATGCAGTGGCAAAGATTTGTCCATGAAATTGTGTTAGCAGCAAAGATTTAAACAGACTGAACATATCCATATCTTTTATATACTATTTTGATCCTGATTTTCTCTCTCTCTCTTTTTTATAATGAATAAACTTTATTAGACACAAGGAAGCAATGCAAAGAAATTTAGGATAAGATATTCTCAGACAAAGCAATCAACTAGTAGAGCAAAACAAAGTTATTAAAAGAAGCTCTCTGTTTGCTTACCAAGGAGACTCCTTATGAGAAAAACCTATGTGCTGAAATGGAAATGCAAGTCTAGGTCAGATGTTTTCCCTTAAAAAATGAGCATTCTGCTCCAGCCAAAGACGCCAAGGCATAGCATACAAAGTATACTACCATAACACTTTACCCTCCTAATACTCCGGCCGATTCTCTGAACATAATTGAAAGAAAACCAGAGGTTAAACCTAGCACACTCCAAACACGCCAAATAGCATACTCCAGATTTACTTAGCTACTGAACAATGTAAAAATAAATGTGCATCATTTTCTAAATTAGAGGTACCCATGACATACATATTTGGAAATACAGCCTTGTTGGGTCTATGTATATACATATGATTAGTTCTGATCATATTGAGCACTACTCTGTCCAAGTCAATGGACCTTACTAGGAACTGAGGAATTTTCAATGAGCTTTTCAGTCTGGACTATGAAAATGGTTAAGAAAGTCAAAGAATGAATTACAAATAAGTATATGATAAAATAATCAAGAGTCCAAATCCTCTTTTCTGTGTTACTTGACAAATGAACAGAGTCAAGCATGTATAGAAGAGATTCCAGTTGAAAAGCTTCTCTATCATTTAAGCTCCTAAGGAAATAACAGTTCCAAAATTTAATCTTTAGTATTGTAGAAATTTAGGATGGAACATTGATGCTGGGAAGAAATACAAGAGTCAAGGGAAAGCCTCCACAAAGGGAATATCCCCCACGGGCTCCACCCTAAGATCCTCCAAGAATCTAAGTATCTAACTTGCTTTTCTTATATCATCTGGAATACAACTATTACTTTAAGAGATTTTTTTTTTTTACATAAATAAAAAATCCAATTCAAAACAATCAAATAAAGGAGAAAACAATCTGATACTGTTTCATTTTTTAGTCAACAGTTATGAATTTCATGCAATTGAGTGATCTCCTATTGAAGCATTTGACTCTGTGGTCTCTGTCTTAGCAAGCTTGTAATGTAAACTACTCAGTTCTTGAATTTTGCTATTAGTAGCCATAAGAAATTTTCCTGATGTTTTTATTCGGAATGTACTTCTTGGTTACCTGATCATGATTTTGTGCAAACTTCTTTAGTCAGCTATTGTAACATTGGAAAATATTGTGTTTTTCTTTTATTGGCATACCTTAAAAGACACTCTCTTCTGCATTATTTCTAGTTTTGAGTGTGACATGTGTTTGGTGCCGAAAATTTTGATCAACATTGATAAAATTTTGTAATATGAGAAGGCCAAAAAGAGGGCTTTTTCCTCTGGCCAATAAGGGAGAACAGAATAGTTAAAGAAGGGGGGTTTATCAAATGCATAATTTACTTGATATATTGGTAAGTTATGTAGAGGTCCTTGAGGTTTGTTGAAATTACAAGATGGGGCGTTAATGTTATATTCAAATTTCAAATGGATGGTTTGTGCAGTTTCCGAACTAGAGGTCTATGTAGTCGTCTTACTGATCTTATGTGACCAGTTAAACATACAGTATATGTAGATCATAATGTGTATGCGGGGGGTTTGTGTTATCTTCTCTCTCTCTCTCTCTCTCTCTCTCTATATATATATATATATATATATATTGCACTGTTTGTCTGTGGATGTGTAATGTGTTCAGCATTTTAACTTTTTTTTTTTTTTTAAACTTCTGCAGTCGTTCGTGCTGTTCTGGACGTATCCTTCTCTTTTATAATAATACTCGATGGAGTATGATTGCAAATTTTAATTTAATTCAATACCATATACTTGTATGTCTAGCACAGTCGCACCTAAGAGTAATGGACTAAGTTTTTTCAAAATTGCACTAGAACTTAATTCATAAATATGAAAAAAAAGTGGGGTTGGTGGGGATTTGAGTATATTTACTATGTTCAAGTTACAAAAAGTAACAACTTCCAAACGTTGTGAGTAAAATAGTATAAATTTTTAGATGCTCTTGAGCAGCCATTGCCATGTTTATTAGATATGTGCTATGGTTGACTAAACATTAGTGGCATTCTACCAAAACACAACCTAACAAAATTGAACTTACCGTGTTTATCTCTTGTGCTGAAATTCTTGCTATTATGTTGTGCTTCTTGACAAAATAAAGATTTGCATATGACATTGTTCATATATTTTGATGGATGGATCGTGCAAATGTTTCAAGAGAAGGCAATTTTGGCTTTTGTCGCTTCTGTTGATCCTTGCCAGAATGCAGTTACATCCTCCGGCTACTAGATAGCTTTCATGATGTTACCGTTTTTAAACTTTGTAAGCTTTACTTCCATTATTTTATCTGTTTATGTATTATTTAAAATAGAATCTCAAGTGGGAAGGACGCACAACGTAGTCCCTTTTGTGGCTGTCAAATTGGACTCAAGGATATTGTTCTTGGAGTTTGCTTTGTGTTATTGCAATTTTGCCATGAACCCATACTACTTAAAACTTAATGCTAAATTATATTCTAAGGATGTTTAGGTAGCATTACCTTCCGATTGCCCCGAGTAACTCTAAATTGCACCCTAGTTTCTTTTCAATTTGTGAGTTCTGAAGAGATGGTAAAATGGATGGATTGACATTTATACTGTGCATGTTAAGATTAGTTTTTGTATTGAAAAAGGCTTTTCAACAAAAACTTTAAGTTGATTTTTTTATTGACAAAAATGGTTGTTTTCTATAAAGAAATTATTTCCAATCATGAGGGGAGTAGGGTAAAAAGTATCAGAATCCAATCTTATGTATTAAATTATTATTTATTCATTAAAATGCTGTTAAATCTTTTTTTTTTTTGCGCTATCATAACACATCACTTTTTATTTTTTATTTTTAAATTTAAACTTAAATTGTTTTGGATGTATATCTTTTTACAATTTTAAATATTGTAATACGTGTTTTTACTTTTTAGATGTTATTTGAATTGATTATGTAATTTTAATGTTTTAAAAATTTGTATTTTTATTCTTTATTTAAAATTACAAATATTTATGCAATGTACAAGATATTTGCGACTTGATTAAATTGTAAAAACATTTCTTATAATTAAAGGCAGGCACTATATGTCGTTTTTTGCTTGGTGAAACTACTTATCTATTTGACTTTATAACTCCTTTAAAGTGAGAAATTTACTTTATAACAAAAAAAGGTTCGAGTTACAATTCTTGATGAGAAAATTGAAAGAGTAAATTTAAACAACTCTTCACTTTCCCCCCTAAATTAAATGAGATTACATGACAAAAATCCGGTGGTGTGCCATCTGCAGGGAAATATCTACAGTAGTACTGAAGACTCGGTGCGTTATTTATTCAATTTAAAAAATATAATATATATTTTTTTATCATTTTATCCTTCCTTGTATGGTTATTTTCTCCAAAACCATCGTTATTTTCTACTTTTAGTAAAGGAGTAGATACTACACTAGTACTAAAGATATGCTCCATCTGCAGCCGCCGTCATCGATACGCATATTAGAACGATTCACTTTCTACATAACAATAAAAAATTTAATAATAGAGCAAGTAAAATAAATAGATATGGTTAAAAAAATAGAAAAATATATTTTCAATATGTATACGTTTCCATATTGTGTGTAGAAAAGAGAAACGAATCATTAACAACGTATATAAAGTGGAATATACATTTTCTTCTTCTTTCAAAATGGCCTCGTAAGGCCAGTTATTCATTAGTTGAAATTATAGACCAAAACCGAACCATGCATCGAGTTATCTATAAACTTAAATGCATTTTTAAAAGACCCTAAAATGATTAACGATTTATGAAATTAAAGACTTATCAAAATTTATTGTAAAATTTCGTAGAAGGCATTAATATGATATCGAGTTACACTAATTAACCAAGTTTAAACTAAATTAATCAAACCAAACAGTAGTAGCTCAGTTGGTGTAAGTGAGCTGAACAGGTGGGAGTGAGAGCATGCGTTCGATAGTATCACATTTGGGAGGAATTTAAAACTTACCCGCCCCGAATCGGATTAGTCGTGAAACCATTAACCGATTAGAATATTTTCAATAAATAAATAAATAAATAAATCCTTACATTTACTACATAATATTGGGTAATCATATATCCATTTGATCTAAATTTTTTTTTACAAAAAATGATATAATTAAATACTTATTTAACTAAATTAACTATATTTTTATTTTACATCACTCGTGACACCTAAACACCTCATGAACAACTTAGAATCCTCCTAATGATATTGATATTTTCTTTTTGTTTGATAAAAATATTATTAGGTAAACAAATCGAAATATAATGACAATGGCTCAATGAGTGAAGTTTTATTTTCTTTATTTTTTGTAATGTGATTCAGTGGTGCTTTAGTTGATTCACATGTACCTTGATTATTTTACTTCCCTATGTCTGTGATTGTATATACATACTCGCACGTCACATGTTTCTATACTACTAAACAAATATGTGATTATATACTTATTCCCACGTCATGTAGTAGTTTCCTGACAAGCCCAACAGTTAAATTTAAAAGTAGTTACGTAAAAAATTGAAATAAAATTTGAAAATAGAGAGAAAATGAGGGAGTTGGGTGACCTAACTCCTGCCACAACGTGTATTAAAAAAGATGTTCCTCGTAAATCCAAATGCAACAAATTCAATAGATCGTAATGCCACTATGCCAAAAGCCCAGTCCAACTTGATTCTATGACGAATGGCTTGTCATAGCCATCAACCTTTTTCATAAAAAGGAAGAAAATCCAACCCCTAACATCGTGTGCCTCTGTGTTCATTCATTTGATCCATCAACCTTTACTTGAACTTATTAATTAATTTAAAGAGGGGATTAACGTAGATCTAAAATTGATGAGCTAAGTATGATGTGGATTGTGGGCGATTTTTTTTTTCAATAAAATATTTTTGGGGAAAGCTTATTCTAAAAATATAAACGTCCATTTTTCTCTTAATACCGGCATAATTTCACCCATGAAGCTAAAATTATTTGACTTTGCTTAGCTGTATATTAAATATAAATGTTAAATAAAATATAAAGTAAAAAATTGTTAAAATTTTGTTAATTGTTGTGGGCTTCAATTAATTATAATTTTTTTAAATAAAAATGGGCCAAGTAATGATTTATATAAGGATGCAGTGTAAAACTCACTTAATAGAATGATTTTTTTTATAAACACTTAATAGAATGATTTTTGTGTTTAAGTTTGAATATATATAACACGGGTTATATTTATCTCATTTTACATGAGATAAATAATTTTTCTACACACAAAAGAGGGGTGGATTTGCCATTTTTTCTCCTCTTATCTGTGTGTCCCATTTATAATTTTATTTCTACAACATGAGATAATTACTTTCCTACAACATAAGAAAAGTATTTCTAATATAACACTAACCAATGTGAATTATAATATAGGTCTAACACATAGGGGTCGTTTGTATTGACTTTTGAAGAAAGTTCTTTTTATCACTTCCTTATTTTAAAAAGTAATTTCTATAAAATTTACAGCTATTTAGATTTTTAAAAAAATATTTGATTTATGAAAAAAAATATTTGACTTCTGACTTCTTCTTTTTATAAAAGCTAAAAATTTTAACTTTCGAAAAAAGTAAGTTTTTGATTTTTTTTATGACTTCTGTTTTTTAAAAAACAGACATCCAAACAAACTTTTTTCGAGAAGTGCTTTTTTTTTCTTAAGAAAAGCAGCTTTTGAAGAAAAAAAAGTCCATCCAAACAAGCTCATAGACCCATAACAAAAAGCGCACCGAAGTTGACAAGTTTGACTCACTTATTTCTATATTTACCCAAGTTGTTAAAATAGTCATTTTACAATTTGCCCTAAAAAAATTATGAACAAAACAAATATTAAACAATGCAAGAACTAATTGAGTAGATCATCAAAACAATGCACAAATTGCGTAAAAGCATTGATATTCTTACATAAATTGAGTAGATCACATCAAAACAAGAACTAATTTGCAAAGAACATCAAAACAAATAAGACAATCTTTTGAAATATCAAAAATCACATCTTCAGTATGTAAATCTAAACTTTGATATTCTTACATAAATTGAGTAGATCATATTAAACAATGCACTTGTGTAAAAGCATTGTCTTAAAAAATTGCTTATACTAACTTCGAGAAATCGGTCTATGACAATTAACTAATTGTCTTACATTAAAATAAAAGTTTAATTAACATATAAGGTATGTGATAAGACTGATCGGATGACATAGTCACATAGACTCTAATTCTGTTTTTGACTAATTATTAAAAAAACATTAGCTATTGGACTAATTATATTCTTGATAATGTACAATTAAATAAAAGGTGCTGGACAACATTTAAAAACAAAAAGAAAATTATTAATAATCAAAAATATTAAAAAGCAGTAATCACAAAATTTTATAATTACTCACACAAAAAGTTGTTTTAAAATTAAATTAACTATTAAAGTATTATTAATTATCATATTTATACAGACAAAAAAGATACTAAATTTTAAACAACGGTAAAAATGGAATACAAAATAATATCAAATTGATATAAATATAAAAAACATTTATAATATAATCCTTCTTCTTTTTTTCATATAAATATCAACAAATACCCTACGTATTATAAAAACCATATTATATAAATTATATTTGGAAAAAATATTTGTTTTTATAAATGACAAAAGTTATGTCATTAGGAGGTGAGATTTACATTTTTATTTTTTTTTGTTCATTGTTTCTCCTCTATTATATATATATATTTTTCAATTAAAATGATCCAAATTTACATTTTTTAAAACGTGACACATTTTTTGCAATATATTTACGTGATTATCGGAAGAGAAAAATCGGTGGAAACATTTTTGGGTGAACACGTGTTACGCACAATTTTCTTTCATCCACTCGTATCAAATGCCCCATCCCGACCCTTTCCCTCACTTATAAGCCAAGCCCAAGACTAATAAATGCCCCCCGACATCATTATGTAAAGAGAAATTCCTAAAAAAGAAAAGAAAAGAAAGAAAGAAAAAGAACAAAAAGGAACAACGAGGAAAGAGTTGGAAGATAAAGGCAGGATGTGCCCTTGGTCTGGCTCCGGCAGATGGTGGTACACGTCCAACTTCCGGTGGCCGGAGATCGATCTATCGCTGCCGTGGTCGATGCTCCGCTGGTCGTATTGGAGCACAGGTTGGAACTTGGAGAGTCTGCGGCAGTGGAACTTGTCGTTGGTGGACGATGTGGTCTGGACTTTTGTGACGGTTCTCGAGTCCTTAGTCTTAGCCACTATGCTTTGCTCCTTCTTCCTCTGCTGTGGTTGTACTCTCTAATTTTCCCTTCCTTTTTTTTCTTTCTTTATTTTGTTTTTCTGTAAATATTTTTCATGACATGACATTTGTATTGTAGATATGTGAGTGAATCATTGTTAAATTTTTTTTAGATTGTGGCAGATTAAAAGGATAAAACACATTTTGCTTTTAACATATACGTTCTGGTTTTCCCTTTGGGGTTGCATAATGGTTTATTTTCTAATCTCACATTTCACATATTCTACAACAAACAATGGAAGCATCGTTTATAAATTTTTTTAATAAATTTTTGCAAATTTGTAAATATAACTCAACAATTACAATTACTAGATCTGCGTATCACCAAGAGCACACTAGAAAAGGGCAAATGAAGATAGGTCATGGGCAGAATGTGATATGGTTTATTTAAGGGTTTTATGTTTATCCATGTAACATGATATAACATCACTTTTCTAAACACATTAAAGAGGTGGGGTCTACATATTTTTCTTTATCTTTCATCATTTTACTTTCTCTCTTTATTTTATTGTGTGTGTTGGAAACAACATTTAAATCATATAAGATAACACTAATAAAACCCTTTATTTAAATAACCACTCGTTTTACCAATGAGGGTTGACTCAAGTGGTAAGGTACTTGGGTTTGCTTACTCAAGGACTTGAGTTTGAAATCTTGTGTATGCAGAAAATCCTCGCTGGGAGACTCACCTGTCAATGCTAGGTAATCTACCCGGGTCGAACTGGACTTCGCCCCAGAAATTAGTGGAGCAATAAAAAAACATGACCACTCCTTTTTAGTAAAGGCAAACTTGAGATTTACTTAATAAAAACATTTTTAAATTAAATAAGATTTTACTTAATAATAACAAATGTTAAAATAAAGGGAAAACCAATTTTTTTTTAACTCGTTTCTCACACTTTTTTTTTTTTTTTTTTTTTTTTTTTTGACACAATACGATATGAAAAGCATAAGTATAATTACAACTACAAATTTATAAGGTCAAAGCACTAATTTAGCCAAACAAATATGGGTTAAATTTGTGTATGCACGATGTGGCACAAATTTTTATGTGATATATTTTAGAGAAAAGTGTGTGCTATTTAAATAATGTAAAATTGTCTCATTTTAAGAGAGAAAATGATAGATAAAGAAGAAAAGAAAATTGACAAAAAAAATAAAAGTGTGAGTTTTATTTCTTTGTGAGAGTGAAATGACATAAGTTGTGTCATTTAAAAGGATAAATATATTTTACTACCATAAACATAGTATGAATTTAAATATAGTTCAATTGGAACACAAATTTTTGTGTCATGTTTGAATTCTCACTGTAAGAGCCAAGAAATGTGGGTAAACAAAAAATAAAAATAAAAAATCCTTTCATTACAAGGTCAATTCGAGCTGAGCGGTTCATTAGGCCTGGTTTGTTGCGAGCTGAGTTTTACAGTGTATCAAATATAATTTGGTCCGTTGATTTAATCCAATCCTATATGAGTTATTTAGGTTAGCTTGTTAGTTTATTATTATTTTATTTATTTATATAAGTACAGTTGTTTTTAATTATTTATTTAATAAACAAAGATTTAAAAACTGAAATTAAGTTATATTAAAAAATAAGTATTACTTAAAACAGATGAATCTTTACTTTAAAATTATATTTAAGTAAATTAAAAAAATAAAATGTTGAAAATATGAAAAATAAATAAAAATATAAATGAGAGAAATGAAAAATCATTAATAAAGTAATAAATAAAAATTAAAAATTAAAAACAAATTCCATGTCACATTGTAGGAGAAGAAATTTTATATAGAATATAAGGTCTGAAACTCAATTAACTATTCTTACCAAAGAATGGTGGAGCCAAACATATTTTAATTAATAAATATAACTTTTGAAGTTCCCTAAAAAACAGAGAGAGAAAAAAAAAAATTCTTGAAGGTTAACAAGGCAATTCTATTGACGGCAAACTCGGAAGCAAAGAGGCACTTAATAACCACCATTGTCTTAATAATCTGACGGTGAAAAAGGAAAGAGGTGGGATTTGTATTGAATATATAATGTAGGCACACGGCAGTAGGCACAAATTCAATTTTCCCAGCTTAGGTTTAGCAACATTTGAGCCATAAAAATTAATGTCCGTGTGCTACAATTATAATATCAGAGTTTTTTTTTTTTTTCTTCTCATCACCAACTTTAATATTTTAATTATCTATTATCTTTAGTATATAGTTAAAAAATAGTTGCACGACCAAAAAACTCATTCCTGTGACATAATATTTATATTTTCCTAAAATTATTTACTATTTTGATGTGTTTAGGAAATAAAAAAATGATTTTAAAAAAGTCACCCCTTGTAATAGGTTCTGCTCAAACTAGATTAATTGGATAATTGATAAATAGGTGGATATATAAAAAAATAAAGAAAAATATTACTTACATTTTTGAAATTTTAATAAACAAAAATCTCTTTGTTTCATTTGTCTAATATCTTGAAAAAAGAGAGTTTCTTTTAAAATAAAAAATAAAAAATTTAGGGGTATTGTAACGGGAATTGAATTTGTATCCTCCCATATTAAAAAGTGGTAATGTGAGAGAAAAATATATAATTTTTAAATAAGTGATTATAACCAAATAATATGATAGACTCACGTTACCACTTTTGCACGCGAAAGATGCAAATTTGTAATGTAAATTTAGCCAGTTACCTGCTTGTTAAATGCGAATTGGTGGTGGGTGTTTATCTGCTAGCTAAGCTCCAAGTCACAATTACCATTACGCAGAACTTCTTCTAGATTGTTTGATTATGTCAACATTCAACTTGACTGACTCACTCACCCCAAAATTGATGCCGTGAACTTCATGAAAACAAACCAAACTTGACTGCTTAAAAAATCGTAATCCAAATGGCAAAACATGCATCTTTGTTCTGATTCTGATATCAAGATATCACAGTTTTAATTGCCACGTGTCATTCTTGATGGATCGTAAATTGACAGTTGGCTTCTAAATGCATTGCCACGTGTCCGACAAAAACCTTGGACACAAGAAATGTCATGGAGTTCAGAGTTTAGACTCAGAGAGAGTGAAGTGAAGAAGCTGAAAAGAAAAGACGAAGAAGAAGACAAAGAGGGTATTGTGAATGTTGTTAATGCTAAAAATAGGTGGCAGGATTCTTATTGTGGACGGTCTCAACAGAAAACCGCTAACTTTTGTGTTTCTTTTTTGTTTTTAGAAATTCTGATAACGCACGAATAGCTGTTTTTTTATTTTTTTAAATAAAAATATATAATTTTTAATTTGCTGTCCTTACTTTGTTTGAATTCTCTATTGGAGGCATTATTTTTGGGTTTAGCAATTTCGGGAGGGGTTTTCCGAAGTTTTATGGAATTGGAAGCTTTAACTTCTCACCCAATCAGAAGTGACGTCGTTTTTTATCCTCCTTCTCCAACGTTTACGGTCATTGACCCTTTTCTGCCGCCGCCGCCGCCACCACGACCACCACCCTCCGGGGGGCTGCTTGCATTCCCTCTGAACCCATCTCTGTTCTTCACAATGGATAACCAAAGGTCTATGTCTCTGCTTCAGGTGAACCCTTTTTGCTTTTTGTTTTTGGGTTTTGGTTGGTATTCTTTAAAGTTTATAACTTTTCTTTTTTTGGGGGGGTTCTACTTTCTGCAGTTCATTGCTGATGAAGGACTTGTTCCCTCGCCAGAAGAGGAAGAGAAAAGGAAACATGTTATTCAGAAGCTCAAACAGGTTTTCTTGTACAACATTCCCCCAGTTTGTCCTTAACTTGGTGGTGTGTTTCTGTTGTGGCATTTTGAATATTTCTTTTATTCCCTTTTAAAGTTTCATACTTCTTCGGTCAATGCATAAATTGTGGGTCGGATGCACTATTAACATATATTCTGGGGATTTTTCTCAAAGCTTGATTGAGAAAATAGGTAAGTTCTTCAGAATTGCACAATTCAGTGAACTTATTTTGATGATAAGACTTACACATGAAACTATCACATAGCTATAAGTGTTGCAACTTTTTAAATTTCCTGTCCACACGGGAAAAGAAACCATATTTTGTATGTTAACAAATCCCTGTATTTGTTTGTTAATATAAATTTAGTTTTCTTGTATCACGATATTTGTTTATTCACCTTGTAGTACTGTCTTGAACGTATTGCTATTTAATTACAAATCTTGTTCTTCTATTTTGTTACCTTATTTATCATACTTTTCACTTTGCAGATAGTCTCATCATGGATCAAGAAGGTTGCGTGGCAGCGTCGACTACCAAAGCACCAGATTGCTGTTACTTCTGCCACCATATTGACATTTGGATCTTATGGCCTTGGAGTAAGTTCTTCCCTTTTTAGTTTTTCCCTTACTTACTTGGTTTTTCTTGGTCTATAAGCTGAGAGCTAAAGAGTTTGTCTAAGTTTAGATTCTCTTAATTTATTGGCATCTGACTTTTAAACTTGTTGACAAGTCTAAAGTTTGTTCTCTTCTAAACTTCAAATGATGTTCAGGTTCACAGCTCCGAGTCTGACATTGATGCTTTGTGCATTGCTCCTTTCTTTGCCTCCATTGCAGTAAGTTAATTATATTTCTCATCTTTTTTATCATTTCCTTTTTGGATATGTAATGTTTGTCTTAATTTTTACGGAATATGATCTATGCAGGACGATTTTTTTGTTGTGATGCTCAACATGCTCGAAAAGAGACCTGAAGTATCAGAGATTCACTGTGTAAAGAGTGCAAAAGTTCCTCTAATGCGATTTAAATTTGATGGGATTTCCGTTGATCTTCCATTCGCTAGACTTAAAGTACTATACGTTCCTCAGGTCAGTATGAAGAAACATAATCTAGTTTTCAAATAAAAAAAAAAACTTTAAAATGAAGTTTGGACTAGTGCATGTGTGGAGACCCTTCAAATTTGTGAACATTCATGTTCAAAATTTCTTCAAAATAATGTCATTGGCTCTTTGAGTTGTGCATTAACATTATGTTTTAGCACCACAATACTCTTTTTATATTTAATAGTCTTCTGAACTTGGTTTGTGAAATAAATTATTGTTTCATTGATGCTGTTAATTATTCTACAGAATGTTGACATACTAAACCCATTCTTCATGAGGAATATTAACGATGCCAGTTGGAAAAGCTTGTCTGGTGTACGTGCAAACAAACGCATTCTTCAGCTAGTTCCAAATGTTGAGGTATGATGCATGTCCATCCTTTCTTCCCCCCATAAAAGAAAATAATCATATTCATAAAAAATCAGACAATTTTCTGGATCATGCAAAGGACTTAAAATATGTCAACTTTTGTTGTTGTTCTTGTAGTTGAGACTAGAGGATGGATAGTAGATCCCCCTTTTCTTTAGTTCTATGCATGTGGGGGACTGGGAGGACCGTTGGTCTAGTTTTGTTTTATTGTTCTTGTGCATTGTGGTCTCTCATATGCAAAACTTATGCATTTCAGAATTATCAATCCGTGCTACGATGTCTCAAATTATGGGCGAAAAGACGAGGAGTGTATGGAACTGTAAGTGCATTTGTACTTTTAAGTAATGTTTACTTCCGTAACTTCATGCATGAACTCAACTTTCATGGCTCATATGAAGCAACATTTTTCCTTTGCAGTTACTTGGTTATTTGGGAGGAATTCATTTGGCGGTTCTTGCAGCTTATGTTTGTCAAAGACATCCTGATGCCACCTTAAATGGTGTAATTGTGAATTTTTTTCGAACATTTGCATTTTGGCCCTGGCCTACACCAGTGATGCTGCAGGAAGGAATGTTACCAACAGCTGAAGATGCTATGGAAATACGGTCCTTCATGCCTATTCGGCTGCCAGCTAGCCCTTATGAGTATGTCCATTCAAATGTAACTAAAAGCACATTCTACCGGATCAGGTCTGAGTTTTTACGGGCACATAATATGACGAGGGTATGTTATGTTGTTTAACCTAAGTTTCCTTTTTGCTATACATTTTTCTGTTTGTGTTACTACTTTTATTCAGAGCCAGTTAATCATAATGTTCTGTATATTGTTCTCCCTTTCTGCTTTTGCTTGGACAACTGGAGTTAAAGTTGATGCTGCTATTTTTTTACCTGATGAAGTACATGGATGCTTTTTTAAAATAACTTGCCCTTTGAGTATGCTTTTTGCTCATTTTTTTTATTTGGTTGCATTGAAGGATCTTTTGAAGCCAGATTTCACTTGGGATAATGTATTTGAGCCTTTTCCATACTCAAAAAGATATTCCCAATTTGTCAAGATTTACCTGTCTACTCCTGATCAATGTGAGCTTGGAGACTGGGTTGGTTGGGTCAAGTCACGCTTTCGTGGTCTTCTTCTCATTGTAAGTAGTAGCTCTAATGGTAAATCTAGCTAACTCATCATATAGTTATGGTTACTTTGACATTAGAAAATTTGGGGGGGCAGTGTAGAATTGACTATGGTTGCGATTCACTCACTGCAATCATACTGGAAAAAACTTTTCCATTTTATTTGTAAATATTCCACTATTATTGAACATGATGCTTTATAGATTATAACTATATCAAGATGACACGAAAGGACTAGGCATAAATATTTATGGAGTAAAAATATTCTCTTCAGCTTTAGATTTTACTGTTGCTTTTGGGAACTTCACTTGTGATCATGAATCATGACAGGAATTTATTGTTCATCTTTCCATATATTTGATCATCATTTCCTCATGTGGTTTTGTTTGCTGCAGCTGGAGGGGGTCCAAGGTTTTTGTGACCCTAACCCTACAGAATATGTTGACAATGAGAAAACAGAACCAAATGTGGTTTTCTACTGGGGCTTGCAACCAGGCAAGAATAACTTTGTGGACATAGATTTGGTAGAGGGAGAGTTCATGAAGATTGTGAGCAATGGCCGTGAAGGTTCTTCTGGGAGGATGGAGTTGTCTACCCTGTTAGCTTCTGAGCTACCTAAGAATGTTCAGTTTGATGATGGGAATGTTAAGGGTAGAAAACATTGCTGGAAAATAATTGATTGTGATGAGAAAAGAAGCCAAGTCTACTCACAGCATCTTTCACATTGCCTTGTTGGCCATGTGGCACCTAGTGGTGAAGCTGAGTGCCTAAGTTCTGGTGGCTAGATATGTTTTCTAATTTATCTGCCAGCTTCATGTATGCACTATAGCCCTGTATTTTTTTTTTTTTTTTCTTCTTCTCCCATTCTGTATTCTGATTCTAGATTCAGTAGGAGCATAGGTTACACAGGATCACTTGAATGAGTAGTCTCTACTCGTGCAATAGGAAAAAAAGAAAAGTTTGCCTTTCAAACAATAGTGTTAGACAAAAGGAATGGTTAGTTGGAACTTGGAAAGTTACATCTTGTTCTGACAATATTTTAAGGTAAATGATACTAGCTCAGCAAAGACATACACACAATTTTGACACGTGTGTTGGTGTCAATGATGTTTACTATTGTACGCAATTTATATAATGGGAAAGCTCAGAGAAACAGAAACAAGCCATGTATTCATGCCTTGTCCTTGTCACGTAGTTATCAATGTGCTTCATTGAATATTGTATATTATGTGGCATTATCATAATCCATATGAAGTGGTTGAATCATGAGACATCTTCATGAATCATCAGAGAATGACACGTTCTAATAAGCCTTTTTAATAATATGCACTGAGGATTCGGGTATATAAATTCTATTATTTATGATGCACCTCAACATCAAGAGGATCCGTGGCGCAATGGTAGCGCGTCTGACTCCAGATCAGAAGGTTGCGTGTTCGATTCACGTCGGGTTCAATTTTACTTTTTTTTTTTGTTAGCCTTTCAGTAGTTAATATTTCATATATGTTTAATGTTCATACGGTTGGGAGACCAATATTATAATATTTTTTCCTAGGAATAACACGAAAAATATACTATAGTTTAATATTAAAAGATTAGTAATTTAAAGTTTTGTTATAAAAAATGAGGAGAAATATTTTTACTACCAAATTTTTCTACTACCAACTCACTACCTATCTAATCATCATTGGATCAATATTTTATCTTTTTTCAAAAACTTTTTAGTATTCTCTCTCTTTGATTCAATGGTGATTAGATAGGTAGTAAGTTAGTAGTAGAAAATTTTGGTAGTAAAAATATCCTACCTCATAAAAAAACTAGGGCTTTATAGAGAAAATAATTTTTGCAACTGATAGAAGAAAAGCAAGCGAGCCCTACCATTTTTAGAAAAAAGAAAGAAAAGAAATGGCTGTTTTTTCATGTGAGAATGGTAGGAAAAGTTGGATTTTACAGGAGAAGTTTTATACCCAAAAAAATATTAGTATTATAAAACATGATGCGTTCCTTAATAGTGAATTTACATCCGACAATAATACAAATTAATCTTTGGATAAAAACATAATAAAATTGAGCATCTAAATTAAAACATATACTTTATTTTTATGCTGAAAGAGAATGTTAAATTTGAATGCTTTTTTTTTTTTTTTTTTGGTAATCAAATTTGAATGCTTTATTTTACTGAAGCTTAAACATTTATAAATTTGATAATTTTAGTTACAATTTGAATCCATATTACAAGTCTGAATAAATTTATTTTAAACAAAGTTTATTATTCTTGCAAGTTTAAATGCCTTGTATTATATGCTTAAAACAAACGCCCTGTGTTACTAATAATTAAAGTTTAATTATAACTTTTCTTACTTTTCAAAATTATATAAAATTCATTACGAACTAATAATTTGTAGGATAAAATTTAAAATTTTCTTTTAGTAAATGTGATTTTTTCTTCTTTATTTTTAAAATGTATGATATTGAATTTTTTTAATTTTTTCTCTAAATTTTTTGTATAATTTATGTTGGCAGCTACTTCATCAAATTTATAATTAATTTCCAATAATTTAAATTACGTTAAAAATATGTTAGAAATTAAAATAGGATAGATAACGATTACGGAATTTCTTTTGAAAGATAATAGAATTGATACACTTAAAATAGGTAAAGTATGATTTACCAAAAAAAAATAGGTAAAGTATTTGTAAATAATTTAAAAATATTTAATTATAATATCTCTAATATTTAATTATAATATAGAGATATTTTATAATTCACTTTCTAAACTTTGATTCAAAATCATTTGTAATATCAACTTGTTTAACAGTTTTAAAGTGTTTTAAATAATGCAAATATATCTATAAATTTATAATTTTAATAAAATTGAGAAAAAAATACTCAAATAATATCAACAAAGTAATGCACAATGTGTTAAGAATGCAAAAAAAAAAAAAAAAAAAAATTGTTTTTAGTAACATTTTTTCATATATCTCATGTGTTCAAATTAAAGGAAACATATATCAAAATATATCAACAAAGTAAGGCACAATGACTAAGAATTCTATTAAATACTCGGAAAATAAAACTATATTTAATTTAATTAGATTTTAGCTAAATACTCAAAATATTACCTTTTTATTAATTTTTCTCTAAAGAGAAAAATGAGTTAAAAGAAATCAATTCTCTTAAAAGTGACAGATACTTTGAAACAAAAGGAAGACTATTGACTTTTTTTATTATTAAATTTGATTAATTAGTGATATATTTAATTATTTCAAGAAAATTTACTTAATAGTTAATATTTAATGATGAAAAAAATAATATTTAATGATGTTTTTAATTACTTCACAAATTAATATTATTTCTTGAATAATTAATAATAATATTAATTGTAGTTTGACTAAAAACTATTTGTAATTTTGTATGAAATTAATAGCCATACTTAATGAGAATATCTTTAGTGTTACGGATGCACCGAGTTTTCGGTGCATCTTCCACTCATAATGTGTGATGTGTCTTATTTTAGTCAAATTATTAATAAATAATTTATTTTAAAATCAGGTGAGAGGATGGTTTGATAAAAAATAAATTCGACGTATCCATAACACTAAAGAAACTTTCATACGTAATAGTGTAATCAATTAATTTTTAAGGCAATAGTAAATGTAATTAATTAATAATATCTTTAATTACTTCAAGAAGTCTTACAAAATAAGTAATATTTAATAGCGTATTTAATTACTTCAGAAAGCAATAAATATATTGCTTCATCCCACAAAAATATTGATTACTTACCAAATAAAGTATTAATTAGTGTATTAATTTTTTTTTTGAAAGATAATGGAAATGAAAAACACAGCAAAAAGGCCTAAGTACAGAACCTAGCCCAGCGAACACCTACAGTGTCGCTGTATAAACTTTGAAGACAGCCAGGAGGAGGGTCATCAAAGACTTGCACATCCCATGGAAAGCTATACACATGTGAAGCTAAGAAATCAGCTACTTTGTTTCCTTCACGATGGGCATGAGAAATCTGCACCTGCCAACATCTTTGCAACATTCCTCTAATATGTTGCACCAAGCTCGACGAAGGGTGATCCTGATGACACCCATTAGAAATAATCTGTTGGGCTGAGAGGGAATCTCCTTCCAACCACACTTTTCTAAATCCTTTTTCCCAAGCTAAACGCAAACATTCCAAACAAGCCCATAATTCTGCATGCAAAACAGTACCTGGCCCCAAATTCTTGCAGAAACCAATAATCCAAGCTCCGGACGGGTCACGAATAACACCACCACATCCTGATCTATTCCCATTACCAGCTCTAGCCCCATCAACATTAAGTTTAACCCATCCTAACGGAGGACAAGACCAAGCTATCATCTTCTCTACACTTTTTCTCGGTTGAAGACCTGCTGCATGGAGAGTGGTAGCTGTATGCTTGACACAATTGCTATACCCCAAGGCTGAGTGGGCAATTGTGTAAGCATTATTGATTTTTCCTTCAAAAACCCAAGTGTTTCTGCTCCTCCAAATGCTCCACGCTAATATCCCAAAAGTCAAAGGCCAATCATCGTCCATTGCCAAGCTTCTACAATTTTTTAAGTTAGAGAAGATCCAGTCATGCAGATTAAGCGAGAAGAATACCTGCCAACTGGTTTGATGAACCACCAACCTCCAAACCTCTTTTGACTGAGGGCAATCCCGGATAGCGTGGAGATTAGTTTCACAAGAGATATCACATCTAGGGCAAACACCCGAAGATGTCATGTGACGTTGAAGCCTCCGACTATTAGACAATAACTTTTCTCCAACCAACAACCAAAGGAACATACGTATTCATTCCGGTCCCATCCACCTCCAGATATTGTCCCATTGATAAGCTAGAGTTGTAGCTGTGTTGTTATTTAGCAAATCATAAGCTGACTTTAGAGTGAAAATCCCATCTGATGTCTCGCTCCAAATGATGTGTCTTGTGATTGACAGAGACAATTTCCTATTTAGATGCTGAAAGCTTAAGAAGTTCACACATATTCACTCTGATTGCAGTTTTTTAGTTCTCTCCTTTCACTTTCTCAGTTCATCCATCCTCTTAAATTTTCTACACTTCAATTACCCATCTTATTCTAAAAAAGATGGCAAACTTGAAGCACCTATCTCTTATATGTAGCACTCTTATTCTATATACAATTTCAGTGCCACTTGGTCACTGCAGAGTTTATCAGCCAAATGATGTGAAACTCAAGGAGCAAACACGCAGGCAAACAGTCGATCCTGATCTTTGCAATCAACTCCTTGAAGCATACCCTCATAGCTCAAGTGCAGATGTAAGAGGCCTAGCATTAATCATGCTAGGTGTAAATGGGCCAGGCTGGCCTGGCCTAGCCTACTGCCCGACCTACGTTCAACCTGGCCTACTGAAACAAGCGAAACTCAAGGAACCCATTTGAGGGTGAAGAGAGAAAGTAGAAACTGAATATTTCATTGAATCAAATCAATCTAGAAAATACACAGTTCCCTAAATATGTAGTTAGTTCAATACATAACGAAAGTGACAGCTGTTAAAACAGAAAACTAACTAACTGAGTTAAACTAACTACCTAACTGAGTTAACATAATAGAAAACTAACTAACTGAGTTAACTGATACTCAACATCCCCCCTCAAGTTGGGAGGTGGATATCATACAATCCCAACTTGGACAGAAACTCTCGAAAGGGGGCTGGGTGAAGTGCCTTTGTGAATGTGTTAGCAAGCTGCTGCTTAGTAGAAAGAGGAATCAAATGGATCAATCCTTTGGTGATTTTCTCTCGCGTGATGTGGCAGTCGAGTTCTATATGTTTACTTCTTTCATGAAATGTTGGGTTGTGTGCTAAATGTACTACAATAGATCATAGCTGGAGCAGAAATTGGAATATGAAGATCATGAAGAAGATAGGTCAACCATTGCACCTCACATGTCAAAGTAGCGAGTGCACGATACTCAGCCTCTGCTGAAGAACGACTGACTGTACTTTGCTTCTTGGACTTCCAAGAAATCAAAGATGAGCCTAGAAAAACACAAAATACGGTTGTAGACTTTCTTGTATTCGGGCATGTTGCCCAATTTGCATCTGTGAACCCGGATAAATGCAAAGAATTCTGAGAAGGAAAGAGAATTCCCTTGCATGGAGACCCTTTAAGATACCTCATTACACGAGTGGCTGCATCAAAATGGGATTGCATTGGATGAGCTACAAACTGACTGAGTTGTTGAACTACGAAGGAGATGTCAGGCCTAGTGTTTGTAAGATACAAAAGACGTCCAACAAGTCTGCGATATACTGCTGGTTCATGGCAAGGTGTTCCATGATTTTGACACAAACGAAGGGTAGGCTCCATAGGAGTGGAAGCAGGTTTAGATCCAATTAAACCACTATCGGATAACAACTCAAGTGTGTATTTTCTTTGATTCAGCACAATGCCCTATTTTGATCGTGCAACTTCGAAACCCAAGAAGAATCGAAGGGGTCCAAGGTCCTTGATGCTGAATAAATCATCAAGATGACTTTTGACAGCTTGTATCTCACTCATGTCATTCCCAGTCAAAATCATGTCATCGACATAGATAAGAAGTGCAGTAAATGAATCATGATTTTGTTTAGTAAATAGGGAATGATCAGCAGTAGATTGGACATATCCCAGTGTGAGAAGCTCAGTAGTTAATTTGGCATTTCATTGGCGTGAAGCTTGCTTAAGTCCATAAAGAGACTTTTCAAGTTTGCAAACCTGATTTGGAATGGGAGAAACAACACCTTCTGGGATTGACATGTATACTTCTTCTGAGAGATCTCCATGAAGAAATGCATTATTGATGTCTTGTTGCTCTAAGAACCATCCACGAGAAGAAGCAACAGCAAGGAGAAGTCGAATGATAGTCAACTTGGCAACTGGTGAAAATGTTTCAAAATAGTCTACTACTTCCATTTGATTGTAACCCTTTGCCACGAGCCTTGCTTTGTATCGAGTAATTGAGCCATCTGCATTATGTTTTATGCGATAAACCCATTTGGATCCCTTCATTCTAGTGGATCTTCGTGGAGCAGTAGGAGCAATGGAGTGTTCTGAATGTGAAAGAATCTCTTCATTTGAAATATCTGCTATAGGTGCAGAATGTTGTTGTTCGTGCATAAGAGGTTGCTGTTCAACTGGTGCAGGAGTAGGAGTAGATGACATATGATTTTTTTGTGGAATGCTTGGGTCATATGAGGTGTAGGAGTCAACTGTGAAAGGCCATGGAGTGTCTTCCTTTGAATTTCCTGAATCAGAAAAGGGGAAGAACTTCTCATCGAATATGACATCTCTTGATAAGAAGATTTGTTTAGAAAAAAGTCATAGAGGACATAACCCTTAACACCATCCTTATGTCCTATAAAGGCACATCTCCTAGCACGTGGATCAAACTTTGACCGACCATTGTGAATAGTAGAGGCATATGCTAGGCATCCAAAATTCCTTAAATGGATGATGATAGGTGGTTTGCTATATAAGAGCTCAAAAGGGGACTTCTGTTGCAGCATTGGTGAGCATAGTCTATTAATAAGGTAGATAGCATGAGTGATGCAGTAAGACCATAAATTGTGTGGAAGTTTACTTTGAAAGAAAAGAGCCCTTGCTGTGTTTAAAATATGTTGTTGTTTTCTCTCAACAACTCCATTTTGCTGAGGTGACTCCACACAAGATGTTTGATGCAATATTCCTTTATTTCTGAAAAATTCATGCATTAAAAACTCTGGGCCATTATCACTTCGAAAACATTTGACAGTAACACCAAACTGATTTTCAAGAAGTGTTACAAAAGCTTGAATATGGCCTCTAGTTTCGGATTTTGATTTCATAAGAGCACCCCAAGTAAAACGAGTGTGATCATCTACAACTGTTAAAAGATAACGATGTCCATGAATAGAACTAAGAGAACAAGGTCCCCAGATATCAATGTGTACCAAGTCAAAAGCATGACTGGAAATAGTAGTGCTATCAGAAAAGGATAATCGCTTCTGTTTTGCCAAATGGCAAATATAACATAGAACATCCAAGTTTTTACATGAAACAAAAGGAAACTGAGCCATCATGGCTTTTATTACAGTTTTTGAACAATGTCCCAAATGGGAGTGCCATTCATAAGAAAAAACAGATTGTGTAATAAAACTGCTACTATTGAAATGAACATTATCAACTGATAATTCCTTTTTGTCAGGAATGCTATGCTTGTCTTGATAGCCAGTGTCTCGAAGAATATACAAGCCCTTCTTCAAGTCAGCAGAACCAATCATCTTTTGAGATGGCACTTGCTGAATGATACAAGTTGGATGCTGAAAAATCACGCGACAATTAGAATCCTTAATCAGCTTAGTGACTGATATTAAGTTCACTCTGAATTCTTTAACAAATAGCATATTTGTCAACTTGAGAGATTCTGACAGTTGAATAGTACCAGAAAAATGGGAAAACATTTGACTTCCATTGGGCAGGAAAATAGCAATAGGTTCAATCTTGTGAACACAAGACAAATTCATATATGAACATGTAATATGGTCGGTGGCACCTGTATCAAAAATCCACTTCATATTAAAAGTACCTGAGGAGGATTTTGTTTCTGCATTGAAAGTTTTGGCTTGTATCATGTTGCTAGTGTGAGGTGATCCTTGCTGTAGTGAATGTTGAATCATCTCAAATATTGTTTGATATTGATGATTGGTAAAACCATCTGTAGGATTTTGCATGTTCTCCATCGAGTTTTTCATCTGATCCTTTTACATAGCTGCTACATTAGCCTTGTGAGGTGCCTCCTTTTGCTTATAACCAGGGGGATACCCATATTTCTCAAAGCAAGTATCCACTGTATGGCTTGTTTTGCCACAGTATTTGCAAAGCCGTGAAGGACCTCCGCGTCCTCTTCCCACGACCCCTACCACGTATTTGTGATCTACCTCTGCTCTGTATTTGCTCACCAAAATTATAGAAAATCATGCGAGCTTCTTGATTGGTAAAAGCTCCTTCCATATGCAACTTTCTCTCTTGCTGCATTACCAAGGAAAAAGCACGATTCACTGAAGGTAATGGACTCATTAGCATTATTTGAGACCTGACAGCAGAGAACTGATCATTCAGCCCCTTTAGAAAACGAATTGAGTAATCCCTTTCTCGCACACTCCTTACTTCTGATGCTATAGAACAGCAAGGATGAATACACTTGCATGTTAGAGTTGGCTGTAAAGCTTCCAACTCATCCCAAAGAATTTTCAACTGTGTGTAATAATCTGTCACAGAAATATCACCTTGACGTAATTTGTAAAGATCATCTTGCAGATTTGAAATTCTGAAGATATCACCTTGCGAAAATCTCTCTTTAAGGTCATTCCAAACATCTGAAGCTCGATCCATCCACAAAGTCGATTGGGAAATGGATTCGGTAATTGAATGATGCAACCATAAGAGAACCATGGTGTTACACCTCTCCCATGCTGCATACCTTGAATCTGAAAAACTTGGAACTGATATGGTTCTATTTACAAAAGAAACACAACCAGATTTAACGTGGGAAAACCTTCTCCAATGAAGAAGTAAAAACCCACGGGACCTAGTCCAGATCAAAAATCCACTATAAAAACAATGGTTACAAATATCAAGATTCACCAATGTGGTGGTTAACTCAACCTCTCCAACAATGGTGATAATCAAACCTCCCTAGAGATGTTTCACTCAAACTCTTTCTAGAGATCTCTCAAATCTGTTCTCTCAATCTGACCTAGCCTCCACCCACAACTAATGAATATATAGAGGAGGTGAGATCTAGGGTTAGGGTTTTTAGAAAACCCCTCAATGGGCTTGGGCTTAGCATTGAAGGAGGAAGCCCGACAAATCTCCCCCTCTGACTTCAATGCGTCGGCTTCAGCATCAACCCAGCTCCTTCACAGCAGTCTTCAAATTTCCTTGCTGGAACCGACTTTGTCATCATGTCGGACCAATTTTGATCAGTGTGCACTTTGATGAGTTCGAGCTCTCCACCTTCCACCACATCCCGGATCCAGTGATACCTCACATCAATATGCTTAGTGCGAGAGTGATAGGTTGAATTCTTTGCAAGATAAATTGCGCTTTTATTGTCACAACCCAGCTCGTACTTGTCTTGATCATGACCGAGTTCCATAAGGAACTTCTTCATCCACAACATCTCTTTGCTTGCCTCAGCAGCGACAATGTACTCAGCCTCAGTTGTTGATAGTGCAACATATTTCTGTAGTCTTGATTGCCAAGAGACAGCTCCTCCGGAAAATCTCATCATCTATCCCTTCGTCGATTTCCTCGAGTCGGAATCTCCCCCTAAATCAGAATTCGAGTAGCCTTGCAACTCGGTTTTGCCTTCTCCAAATCGAAGACATAAGTCGGTTGTACCTCGGAGGTACTTGAAGATCCACTTCACTGCTTCCTAGTGCTCTTTGCCGGGGTTTGACAAATACCGGCTTACCATTCCAACAGCATACGCCAAGTCGGGTCTAGTGCAAACCATTGCATACATCAAGCTTCCGATGGCGGATTGGTACGGGACCTTCATCATCTCATCTTTGTCTTCATCAGATCTCGGACATTGCTTCTGGTTCAGCTTTATGTGTCCGGCTAGGAGGGTGCTCACTGTTTTGGCTTTGTCCATGCTAAATCTCTTCAGAATCTTCTCAATATACTTCTCTTGACTTAGCCACAGTAGCTTCTTTTGTCTATATCGGATGATCTTGATTCCGAGAATCTGCTTTGCAGGGCCGAGGTCCTTCATTGCGAAGGACGAGCTCAACGCCTTCTTCAGGGGGGCTATCCTCGATTTGTCTTTCCCTACAATAAGCATGTTGTCAACATATAACAAAAAAATCAAAAAATCTCCAGCCTCATACCTCTTCACAAATACGCAGTGGTCGGCTTCGGTCTTTTCAAACTTATGATTAGTCATGAATGATTCAAACTTCTTGTACCACTGCCGAGGTGCTTGCTTCAAGCTATAGAGGCTCTTTTTCAACCGACATACCAAGTCTTCTTGGTCTGGAGCTCGGAAACCTTCAGGTTGCTCCATATATATTTCTTCTTCTAAATCACCGTGAAGAAATGTTGTCTTCACGTCCATTTGTTCTACCTCGAGGTCCATTGAAGCCGCCATGGCTAACACAGTTCGGACCGAGGTCATTTTCACCACAGGAGAAAAAATCTCCTCAAAATCTACTCCTTTCTTCTGATTACAGCCTTTCACTACAATCCGGGCTTTGTATCTCAGCTTCTGCCCGTTCTCTTCGTTCTTAATCTTGTAGACCCACTTATTTTTCAGAGCTCGTCTTCCTTTTGACAACTCGGTCAGC